CGTACTTTAAGTACTCTTTCAACTTGATTATTCCAACAGTGACACCGTCTACCTCTACGTCTTCTAAATACTGTAAAATACTACTGTAAGTACATTAATTTTTACTATAAGTGATTATACGGGTATACAGATTAACTGCTCGATCTTTTATTACTATGCAGAACATAGATTATAATATAATATAAGGGAACTTTTTCTCTCTGTAAAGGTTGTTTGGGTTCTTGGTTAAAAGTGTTTTCATATTCATTCATCGTCTCTTTTGGGTTATATCGCTATTTTCTATAAAAGTGTTAGTAGACTATTCTTTTCGTGCTGTACATTTTCAGTTCCTGTCTTAAAGAAGTAATGTAGTGAGTAGTTGGTTGTTGTGAACTCTTTTGAGATTCTATTAATAAAATTTTTTGCAGGCTAATATATAAATTGTTGTCCGTTTTCAATCATTTCAAGAAGTTGTAAAATTTTATCCTTAAAACAATAAGAATCTTCCAGGGTGATTGTATTCATTCCTTTCATTCAAAACAATAAGGAACGTCTAGGATGATTGTCTTATGCTTATGTGCTTATATCGATTTCGCAGCATGGTGGAATTTTTTCTACCTATAATGAGGGGGTATTAACCTCTATTTGTATTCTTTTTTAAAATATTTATTGCGATCAAAATATTTTCTTGTGTCAAAGTTTTTATAACTCTACCTTAGGTCTAAGAAACGCATTGCGATTATAAGATATCGATAGTCGGAAACTTCGTATTTTTGGGCAGAATGTTGATATGATTATGTTGATATGAGGTTGATAATTGTAGATTGCGTTACATGAAGAAGTGTGATAATAGGTAAGAAGAAGCTGTTTAAATAACCTAATGATAATGTGTTTATCTGTTAATGATAGGCAGAAACCACCAAATATTTTTTTATATGGCTAAACGCCCGCAGTGCCGAAACTTAATACAGTGTGTACACTATATAGCTATATCTATTCTTAACAAATATATGAAATTCTAAATATATATTTCAATATATATGTTTGTACACATTAATATGAAGTATGCATAAATACATTCATAAACTCAGTTGAACATTTTTTAAGTCTCGCTTTTTATGGCAAGACGCCCACTAGTTCTATTTCAACGATTTTAGCCGCCTTGTTAACATTTCTGTCCATACTAAAATGGCAATTATTATTATTTTTTAAAAGGCTGTCTTACGTACATACATATATGTTAAGTTAAAGCAATACAAACAGATATTTTGGATTATGCAAGCAAACAATGAAAGTATCGACTCGATATTGAATATTTCGTCAGATTCCATTGACGTCGGAGTGATTCAAACAAAATTCAATGAAATAATTAAGAACTCAGTTAAAATGCTTATTAATGTATGAGCGTTTTTGTGTGAAGTTGAGGTTTTATATAACACACAGATAGATAGTCGTTTATTCAGAGACTTGTTCAATTGTACTCGAATTGCCTAAGTTACTGTTGAAAAGTCACAGATACTTTTTTTATCATAAAAAGCTTTTTGGCTTTGCCGCTTAAGAAAACCTGTTAAAAATAAAACGAGTTGAAGTCTCAGATACAAAATAAATCAAATAAATATGTAAATAATTTCAAATGAACAAAACCAACTCACTGGCGCAGCTGAAACAGTTGTTAACCCATTGGAGCCTTTGGCACGTTTCAGGGAAATCTCAAATCTCAACTTTCAGAAAAGCACATTCAAACGGTATAAATTAATTGAAACTGGTTCAGCAACTGAGCAGTAATCAATTTAATTTATATTCCAATAAATATTTACATTAACTCATAAATACTTTTATTTATACAATAGTATATAACACAATGTAATATTCCATTTTAGAATTCAAATCTTAGTTCAAGTTAGAAATTAATAATAATTTAATTGATTAATTAAAAATCACACTATAAATTTTATAATTAGACTTTTTCTAACCAAATTAGCTCTTATGTCTGTCACTACCTCACTACCTCACTACCTATTAGATTAGAGTTTCTAAAAAAAGTCTCCTCTCTTCGCTGGGAAGAGAATCCGTAACCCCTTGGTGATACGGATGCTCGTATTACAACCATATTCACCATTGAAAGTGGTTAATGGTTTTTACTTCTAGGGTTATAATTAAATTTAATTAATTATAATTTTTTTCATTCAAATTCGTGTAATGTAATTTTTTCTTTGTTTTAAGAACTTTCAATTTTACCATGTCTTCCTTTTTACATGAGAAGACTTTCAAATGATTTGAGCAAATAGATAATCTAATGATATAATATTCGGCACGCTAAAACAAGATTCCATAGTTCATGACTGAATAGTGTAATTTATTCGAAGTTCTATATCGCACCATATTACGCAATATGTTCCGATATTTCTTATAAGTAAGTTCCGATACATCATCCCATTTGTCGTTGAGTTGCAGCCCAATTAGTGAATAAACAAACAATAACCATATAAAATACATATGGACCTGATTCTATGGAAATCGTTGACAGTAACTCTTTGTTCAGTATCACTTCATAAGAAAAATATCAATTCTGGACATACTACTTTTGGGCACCAAAAGTTAGCTACTTCGGTTTATAAAAGTGCCTAATACAGAGTGTGTCGTTCTAAGGCCTTAAACTAACTTAGATAAATGCTTGTTGCAAGAAACGGATGAAATTATATGACAAATGTTAAGGAGGAGGCTATGGTCCATCCTGGACTGTGATGCCAAAATGATGATGATGAAATGATGTTAACTTTTATATATAGCGAAATACAAGAAGTCAAAGAAAAGTTTATCCGAAAAACCACGAAATTAATTAAAGACCGGAAACTGTTTACAAGTACTATTAAAACAAATAATAATAGACAGGGACCTATAAGATATATTGCGATATTCGTACGCTGACGTGAATTGTTTTATTGATAATGCAAACCATCTTTGATTCAAGACAAATCGGTTAAATAAAAGCCCGATATAAGTAGTGAATCTACTGCTCGACTCTTGATCGTAGAAAAAAATGGGCGGGTACTTCAAGCTGCATTTGACAGATTGACAACTGGATATACCACAAAGTACGGGTTTTATGTACCCTCGTTTATGAGTTCAATTTCATTTGGGATGGAGAATAGATGCCAAACCTTTGTTTGAACTACAAATACTTATTTTTTAAAAAAAAGATTGTGTTTGCATTACATTTAGGTATATTGAATATCTCGTGACTGTTGCACATTCTTTATTTAAACAAACAATTTATGTTGTGCTATAGTATTTATAAGAAGTATTGTTTCTAGTTTTTCTGTTTACTATACACAACAAAAATAAACATATAGCAACTGGGAGATCGGATGGATTACAATGTCATGTTTATTTAACTTATATGAATGGAACAAGTAATACGACTAAATCGTACCTGACTACATTATTCTTGTAGTAAATCTATCTCCTTATATACTACCCATATTCAAATAATTACAATTTTTGGTGCAAATACAAAGCACTTTTCGCATCTCTGTTTTCCCTTACCAGCAGAGATAACTGATTTTTATGCAGGACCTTAAACTGTCAGAGTTTATGATTGTATTCTAATGTCCTCCCACAAATTTTCGAGTTTACACAATTTTCAGTTATAAATTCTCAACCATTTTCTATGGACAACAGAATAAAAACTACATCTTCACAAATATGTATATTCCGTTGCTCTTACCACATTTTCTTTCATCGCAATGTACCATCGCAAAGTATCCCGAAGTTACAATGTCTAAGTGAATACATTGTTCAATAAATCCGGCCAACGGCTTCATTGGCGATTTTGTTTTGATTTCTGCTTCCATTCAAGATTTCTATTCTTCAACTTCAACTATTAAAGATTATTAACGGTTTTCTTTACGCAATACTCCAAAAATATTTATATTTCTATTTCCAATTAGTTTGAAGCAACTTCTTTTGAGTGATAGACACTTCATTACTACCTTCAGTGATGGTCTATTTGGTTCGCTAAGTTTTCTTTAATTTTCAAACAAAATCGAATCATATCTTCGAAATGAACCCTCTTCGTTAGTTCTGCTTATTATCTTAAATTAGAGCGTTCTCTTATATGTCATCACTGCTGCCATTATCTGTCAGAATTGATTCCCTTAGCTGTCATAGTAGCGCTCGTCGCAAGTTCGTTCAATTTCGACTGCTTAAAGTTGCTTAAAGTTGCTTCAAAACAAAAAAAAATTTTTTATTTAATTAAATTAACGTTAATTCCTCATTATTTTTGCACACTTTTACATTGAACTTGAAGTGCTTGATATGATTGAAGTTATAGCGTAAAACTTCAGAGGACTAAGTGATGGGCTTTGAAGTGCTACTTGAACTTTTTCAAAACTTGAAGTATACTAAAGTCGGAAAGCTAATTAATTTGTTTGCATTACTTTCTTAAAAAATATGTACTAAACATATTTGTTTCGTAGATTAAATGTAAGTGAATCTTCAAAAAATTTAAAATCTATTAAGGAATTTTTCTCTCCTTGTTTTTCTCTTCATTACAAACGGAAATCGAATACTATATGAGGTTCTAGTGCATATCTTAAATTTTTTCGAAAATTAATACCTATATACGAGTATTAGTCCCGTTCTACATTAAGTGTATAGCTTTGGGTCTTATTGTAACCAGGCTTTGCTATGCGTATACGGCACAACTATACTTATAGTGCGAGTTTTTATACAACATTAAGCAATTTTGTTCGAGACCACTTCCAATATTGAAATTGGGACCATATTACGAAATGCCTTAGCGTTACAGCTGTTCTGAATATATTTCCAGTTTGATTTTGTGTATAGACAGTATACGACCATTGTTAATTTAATTCTTCTTATTGTGCTAATCGGAAAAATGATTTTAATTAAACCATACAAATAGATACATAAATAAATATATATTGTATTTATAAGAACTTGGATGGCATAATAATAAAATAAGTAATAAGTTTCTTTCTTCATTTAAAAAATTCCAGATTTTATTCCATAATTGCGCCGAATACACTGCGTCCAAATTCACAATTTCATGTTGCTGTAAGCATACACAAATCTCCGGAAACGGTGAAAGTGAAACTTGGAATCTTAGGTTCCACCTATACAGATTTCAAAACAGTGGATGTACGACCGTACTCTTCCGAACTTGTCGCGTTTGAGGTAAGTTACTTATATTTAAATTCTTCTATTCAGACATTTTTATTAGTATTATTAGTATTACCTTTAATAAAACTATTTTATTATTAACACTTAGATACCAGCACTGAAGTCTGACCGATACAATCTGACTGCTGAGGGTCTGTCGGGAATCAGATTCACGAATGAAACCCGATTGAATTTTGAACCAAAACAATTTACAGTATTAGTACAAACAGATAAGGCTATTTATAAGCCTACCGATACGGTGCGATATAGATTATTGCTATTGGATGCCAATTTAAAACCGGTGCGAAACTATGGACGCGTGCATATGGAATTAAGAGATTCGGGCAACAACATTATCAAGAGCTATAAGGACTTGCGATTTACGAATGGTGTTTATAGTAATGAACTATTATTATCGAATTACCCTAAATTTGGTGAATGGTCTATAGACGTTGTGGTTGGAGAAGAACAATACAAAAGCACATTTGAAGTTCTGGAATACATTCTACCAAAATTTGTTGTGGATATTGAAACTGATAAACACACAATCTATAAAGATGGAAAAATACGTGCTAATATTAATGCTTAGTGGGTTTATTTTTATGCCGTCTTATATGAGATTGATTTTATTAATTTTATTTGCAGTTATGATTTCGGCAAACCCATACAAGGTGAAGCAACTTTATCAATATATCCCACATTCTTTGGTTCACTGCAGCCCTTCGTCAATGATCTTATAACACGTAAAGTGGTACCCATCAATGGTAATGCATACTTCGAGTTTGATATTAAAGACGAACTAAAACTAAAAGAAGACTACGAGCGCGAGTATTTACTAGATGCACTGGTAGAAGAGAAATCCACGGGTTCTGTACAAAATTATTCAAAGGTGATAACCGTACATTTAGATACTTATCGTGTTGAGACTGTCAAAATCCCCAGCTACTATATACCAAGTGTACCCTTTGAAGTTACAGTGAGTACAATTGTTTCCAATTTCTGTAGTTTAATGTACACAAAACCAATCTAAAATTTCTAGGCTAAAATAGTGCGCAATGACGGGGCTCAGTTGAAAAACTTTAGACCTGATATCACAGCTTACCTCACAAATGTTTACGGCAGCAGCGAAATGTATAACAAAACAGTTTACAATCTTGATGGAAACGGTATGGTAAAAATGAAGTTCACTGTGCCAATTGGTGATAGGGATGAATATCATTCAGTCATTGTAAGCATCAGTTGTGACTATATATTCATCCACACAAAATATACTTAATTTTTATTTTTTAGGTGGATTATATGGGCATTATTACTGACGTTGGCAAAATTCCACGTAAACATTTACATAGTAAAAATTACATCACTGCTAAGATACTCAATGATAAGTGGGTAGATACCATATGAGTATTTGTGTAATAAAACTGACATTATTTCATTTAATTACAGTCCCAAAGTAAATCAAGACGTCAGTATTACGGTGCGCGCTAATGAACCACTGAAATATTTTATTTATCAAATCGTTGGACGTGGGGATATTTTAATTTCAAGATCAGTTGACGTAAGTCATAGTATAATCATCAATTTTTAATTAAGATGAATGTTGAAACCAGCCAACCATAACGTCAGACGGATATACCTACACAAATCTAGTATCCTAGAAGAAGATATCAAAATCTTCGTTACCAAATCTTCATTTTAAATCTTTGAAAATCTATTTTTACACCTCAAAAGTAAAAACAACAGTTACAGTAGTTATGCTTAGCTATTCAACATTTTAAACCAGTTTTACTTTATAAATGATAACTTTTATTACTCGATTTGCAAACGATACATATATTATTTGGTTTTCTTCACCTACTATAGTTCCATCGAAATTAACACCAAGATCATCGCAGGCAGTACCTTGATAATATTATAATATAAATAAACATTTTTTAACAATTTTCAGCATATAATATATGCATTTAGATATCTAATTGAAAACTTAATAATCAACCACTTATTAAAGTCGACTTCTCCTCCACTAAATAATACATACGTTTTCTGTACAGATGACTACTTAAAGTTAATTACAACTGCAAAGCTAATCCTGGTCTTCTTACTCAATTAGCCATTATAGACGTGAGTAGCTGATTTGCTGTGGCTGGTTGGTAGTACCTAGTGTCTTCATATTGTTAGTCACCTGGTCCTTCCACCAAAGATGCGAACGTCCCCTACCTTTACTCCTGATAGTTTGCATTATATATATACCTAGATAGTTTGGAACGAAATTTTAGAAATTGTGTGTCACAATATCGCTAATGCTTACAATTAATCTATTGTTTGTAGTCTCTGAGAACACTTTATCTTCTTATCTATTTTTTTTCTTTATAGGTAGCTGATGAAACTTATTACACATTCAAGTTTTTAGCTTCCTTTGCAATGATGCCACGTGCCAAACTTTTGATACATAGTGTCGTCAATGGTGAATTTGTTTATGATGAGCAAGTAATTGAATTGGAGGAGAATCTGCAAAGTATGGTAGGTTTGCAATGATCATATAATTGAATATCAATTGTACAATTCTACATATTAGATACAAATTGACGCACCCATCAAAGCTCCACCCGGTCAAGATATTGATATAACACTCACTACAAAACCGTACGCTTATGTCGGTCTAATGGTAATCGATCAAAATGCTCTGAATATAAGATCAGGTGAGATTATAAAATAAATAGTGTTATAAAAGGCATATTAATAAGTTAATGTGTAGAATAAGATACATAATATGAATTTGATAATGCAATATAGAGCATTGTTTTATATAATATATTATTGTATTGTCGATTTTACAAAACTTTTTTTTATTTATTTAGGAAATGACATTACGTACGATCGCATCATGAATGCTTTGCATGATTTTGAGTTAAGCGATATAAACACACCTATTGGTACGCCAGGTAAAGAATCTGGTGTTATCACAATGTCAAATGCTGATGTGATTGTTGAAAAGGGTACGTCACAATTAAATGACTACATTTAAAATGTTCACATTTAAATTCTATATTTATTCCTATCAGAAGCTGAAACCACACCAACATTAGGGCGCTCATTTGTTTATGAAGACGATGACAAACTGACCACAATCCGTAAGACTGACATTGGCCCTGCTCATAAAATCGAAGTTAATACCCTAGCACCTGGTAAAGGACGTTATGCGTTCTCATATACTCCAAAACCATATTGGCATAATCCACGAGTTCACGTCATGCACAATCCAGCAGATACCTGGTTGTTTATGAATATATCAGCTGGCAGTGAAGGACGTACCACGCTTCATAGACGCATACCAAGTACAATGACGTCATGGACATTGTCTGCATTTTCGCTTGATCCAGTAACTGGTCTGGCTTTAACTAAACCCACAAGAATACTTCAGTCTTATAAAGAGTTCTACATAACATTGGAACTCCCTTATTCCATACGATTAGGTGCGTTCTGCACACAAACCTGTAGTTTCACTTAAATTTAAATAAAATTTTTTTCCGTTGCCTTTTCAGGGGAAACAATTGCCTTGCCTTTTGTTGTATTTAATAACAAGGACAGCGATCTGGATGTGGATGTAACGCTTTATAATAATGCACAAGACTTTGATTTTCCGAAATTAAATAATAAAGCTGAGCCCACACCAGGTAAACATAATAATGGCACTGCTAAATGTGACTTTACTAAATATTTTTTGTTGACTAGCAATTGAGCTGTACAGCAGACGTGTCGTACGTGTACTAGCAAAATCAACCAAATCGGTGTCCTTCATTGTAACTCCAAAGCGTGTTGGCTCAATCAATGTCAAAGCTGTCGCTAGCACACAAATAGCTGGTGACACAGTTGAAGGCACATTGTTGGTGGAATATCCCGGCGCTACCGAAATCGTTAACCGTGGTTTGTTATTCGAGCTAAGCTCAAGTCCACAAATTAAGGAAAATATTACAATAAGCATACCGCGTAACGCTATACCGGATTCTACAAGAATTGAGATTTCAGCCGTTGGCGATGTAATTGGTAGTGTAATTGGCAATGTGGAGAGCCTAGTTCGCCTACCAACTGGCTGTGGAGAACAGACAATGGTGAACTTCGTGCCCAATATTTTGACGCTCAAGTATTTAGAGGTATGTTTCTTAAAGTACTGCCATTTTTCGAAAAGTAAAAAACAAATCCCTTTCATAGCGCCTACGTCAGCTTACTCCAGCTGTTTCAACGCGTGCCAAAAAATATATCGATATTGGCTATCAGCGTTTGCTTTATTACCGTCATGTTAATGGTGCCTTCAGTGCATTCGGGTTATCTGAAAAGAATAGTTCTACTTGGCTCACAGCTTATGTGGCGCGTACTTTTCGGCAAGCTGCTGTATATACCGAAATCGATGAAAATGTCATAGACACGGCTTTGAAGTATTTATCAAAGTTGCAAAATGGCAATGGTGGTTTCGAAGAGAGAGGTGACGTATTTGAGAACTTCGACGATGATGGGCTCAGTTTAACCGCTTTTGTTGTTTTGGCATTCCTTGAAAACGCAGTAAGTATTTCTCTGCTGTCTTATCAAACAGTTTTCTCTAAAATTCGTACATTCATCGCAGCAACAATATCCCGAATACAAAAATAATATTAATAAAGCGATGGACTTCTTAACGCGTGGATTGGATGGCAGTAATTCGCTGCATGCCATGGCGATTGGCACATATGTCTTATCACGCACCAATCATAACGCAAAAGGTGCTTTCTTACAACGCTTGGATGCAATGGCTGTCAATGAAGGTTGTACGATTGTAAAATTTTTGGTGGTAATTTAATTTTCAATTATCAATAGATGGCAGGAAATGGTGGAACAAAACTGCACCACCGCTGGAGGGGCCATCTCCCTGGTATAACCACACACGCTCAGTAAATATTGAGATTTCGGCATATGCTGCCTTAGCACTCTTGGAGAATAATCTTATTGGTGACGCTCTGCCGATACTTAAATGGCTTATTGATCAGCGAAACGAGTTCGGAGGCTTTGTCGCTTCACAGGATACGGTAGTTGGCTTACAAGCTTTGATTGCCTTCGCGGAACGTTTCTCAAGTCAAGCGAATAATATGCAAGTTGGTTTCCATTATGGATCAGGTGCTGAGACTATTATGAATGTCAACGCGGAAAACTCTTTGGTGCTGCAAACATTTGAGGTTTGTAAAAAGTTTATCGCTACAGAGTATTTTAATGAAATAATATTTGCGTGTCTTTGATCAGCTGCCGAATAGTATTAAAAATGTCACTGTAACAGCAACTGGGCGTGGCTTAGCATTAGCACAAGTAACGTATAAATATAACACAAATGTAACCAGCGCCTGGCCAAGATTTGTGCTTGACCCCACTGTAAATCGTAACTCTTATTCCGATTACTTGCATCTATCAGCTTGTGCAAGGTAAGTGCAGTTGGATGCATTTAAATAAGCTTATAAATAGCAATTAAGATAATATTAATGAATATATTTTTGCTTGAAGTTTTGTACCAGTAGAAGGAGGTTCCACTCGTTCCAATATGGCTGTTATGGAAATTTACTTACCAAGTGGATTTGTGGTGGATACGGACACCTTACCTACGCTAGAGTCAAGCGACAGAATAAAGGTACGTTTTATGAGATTAAAGTGATAAATCAAATTAAATAGCATTTCAAGTATTGGAATGAAAAAGAAAGAAGATCATCAATAATTCTTTCCGGTGTTGTGTTCATTTTATTTCTATATTTTTTTTTTCAGAAAGTTGAAACCCATCGTCGGAATACATTGGTTGTAATTTATTTCGACTATTTAGATCGTCGTGAAGTTTGTCCCACACTACACGCTTACAAAGTGGTTAAGGTTACCAAACATTCACCGGTGCCAGTTATCATGTATGACTATTATGATAATGTTAGGCGTGCCCGGCAATTCTATAGAGCTCCAAAATCCTATGTTTGTGATATATGTGAAGATGCGAATTGCGGTTCGCTATGTGAAAAAGCTGAAAAACGCGAATCTCGCCGTTTAGATAATGATTCCAGTACGACTGGTATCAGCACTAAGTCCAAAGCGACGATACTCTCTTCTGCGACTACAGCGACAATACTGCTCTTTAGTGTTTTAAAATATGTATTATAATTAAACTATAACTAATATTCTGTGACGTTAGGCCATAACTTATAATTAATTTAACTTTCCTTATTGACAAATTTTAATTTAATAACTTTAATGAACTCATATAAGCTATTTAATTTAGACTAATTCTACATAACCGTAATTTTAATAATACCAAAAACTGATGTACATACTGAATCTCATTTATATGTATTTAAAGCAATGGATGTATAAATATCATGTATATATGTATGTGTTCTTGTTAAATTGTTTTGTAAATATATTAACTTTTTAACAAAAGTTCATTTTTTGTTGTAGCTCGATTTGAATAGTTAGGCGTAGTGTATAACTATATAGTCATATAATCACCATATAACGAAATACTGGAACCGATGACTTTTTATCGTACCTAGATATTCAGAAGAAATTACGTCATATACAAATGTTTGAAAGTTTCAAACTTTCGACTTGGAAAAAAGATTTCCAAGTAGACCTTAATTACGTACTGAAATTTTTATATTTGATTCATTTGCAATTATTTTAAGGATGTTAAACGTGGTCGACCAAAATTCTGGCTTTTTGATATACTAAATTGATATTAAAGATTCTATTCCACGTAGATATAATGTGGTCTTCCCATTTATATACTTTTATCTGTGTAATTGCCCTTATTTAGTGAAGTTGTAGAGCACTAATGTTCTAATGATTAGAAAAATGTTGCTAAAATAGCGAAGTAGGGACTTGCTGCTTACTATGTCTTCAAAAGGGTTATACGTAATATTTCAGCTCTTACTGTTATTGGTGCTTCGTCAAGGCTGTACTGTAAAAAGCATTTTTAGACTAAGAAAGTGTACGGTATGGAAACCGTGCAATTTTGAATAAAAACAATAAGCGGAGACAAGATGGATGTAGAATTTGCTAGTGACTACATGACACCGGCCATAGATTTTAAGACCAGAGTTCCTACTTCTGTTACAACCAAGGAAAACTAGCAGTCGGGAGCAGATAATTTTATAGTAACCAACTATGTGGATGGCTTAATGATAGAGAGAGATACAGGTGCGTCTATTTACTTGTTTTTGAAGAAATCACCGAATTCTTGGCATTATAGCATTTTTGAATGATAGATATGCAATTCAGATATTGAAAAACTAACCCAGCTAATACAAGGGTGTATAATTCAACTTGGTACCACTCTTGTAAATAGTTAAATAGCAATGGAGACAACTGAATCCAGAACGGGTAAATTAACAATTGTATTAAAATATCGTGTCTTACTACTAAATATTAAGCATAGTAAGATCTCTCTGTGTGTGGTTCTTGGACACATTAACACACGGAGAGGCTTCGTGATGAAAAAAATTAGAACCAGTATCTCAAAATATATCCCGATTTGTAAACTGTTTAAGAGCATATCTAAATTCACCATTTTGACGATAAATGGAATTATATGGAATATGAAATAATTGCAAAAACTGTTTGAAAATGTTTTATTTCAAGTTTATATTAACAAGTGCAAGGACTCAACGGTTATGTTTACACAGTCAGCCCAATAGTTAGTTGGTAATGAGGTTGTGGAAATAAAACGGTGTGAACATTGTACTTGGACAAAAAGAATTAAGAATTAATTTATTTGAAAATTGATCTGAATAGATTAATTGACTCTGTAACTTTAGTATACTTCAAACTTCAAAAAGTTTTGAAAAACTTCAAGTAGCACTTCAAAGCCCATCACTAGTCCTCTGAAGTTTTACGCTATAACTTCAATCATATCAATCACTTCAATGTAAGTTCAATGTAAAAGTGTGCAAAAATAGTGAGGAATTAACGTTAATTTAATTAAATAAAAATTTTTTTTTGTTTTGAAGCAACTTTAAGCAACTTTAAGCAGTCGAAATTGAACGAACTTCCGACGAGCGCTACTATGACAGCTAAGGGAATCAATTCTGACAAATAATGGCAGCGGTGATGACAGATAAGAGAACGCTCTAATTTAAGATAATAAGCAGAACTAACGAAGAGGGTTCATTTCGAAGATATGATTCGATTTTGTTTGAAAATTAAAGAAAACTTAGCGAACCAAATAGACCATCACTGAAGGTAGTAATGAAGTGTCTATCACTCAAAAGAAGTTGCTTCAAACTAATTGGAAATAGAAATATAAATATTTTTGGAGTATTGCGTAAAGAAAACCGTTAATAATCTTTAATAGTTGAAGTTGAAGAATAGAAATCTTGAATGGAAGCAGAAATCAAAACAAAATCGCCAATGAAGCCGTTGGCCGGATTTATTGAACAATGTATTCACTTAGACATTGTAACTTCGGGATACTTTGCGATGGTACATTGCGATGAAAGAAAATGTGGTAAGAGCAACGGAATATACATATTTGTGAAGATGTAGTTTTTATTCTGTTGTCCATAGAAAATGGTTGAGAATTTATAACTGAAAATTGTGTAAACTCGAAAATTTGTGGGAGGACATTAGAATACAATCATAAACTCTGACAGTTTAAGGTCCTGCATAAAAATCAGTTATCTCTGCTGGTAAGGGAAAACAGAGATGCGAAAAGTGCTTTGTATTTGCACCAAAAATTGTAATTATTTGAATATGGGTAGTATATAAGGAGATAGATTTACTACAAGAATAATGTAGTCAGGTACGATTTAGTCGTATTACTTGTTCCATTCATATAAGTTAAATAAACATGACATTGTAATCCATCCGATCTCCCAGTTGCTATAAGTGTATTTTTGTTGTGTATAGTAAACAGAAAAACTAGAAGCAATACTTCTTATAAATACTATAACACAATAACGTCAGCATTAATATATGTATATTTAGTAATAAATATAAACAGCCACTAAGTGTCTCAATTTGGGATTCCTAGATTGAAATTGATCTAAAGTTGCAAACATCTCATTTCTGTCTCGCAGTCGTCAAACTGCATAAGTGCTCAGAAACAAGGAACATAAAATGCTTATTTGAATGAAGTTACCAATATTTTGAAAATTTTGAATATCTCAATTTTAATTCACTGTTTGTTACTACAAAACAAATCGTTTATTAAAGTTCAATAGAAATTATGGTTAATTAGCAAGTGTTTATAAATCTTGACTTAAGTGATGAATTTTAACTGAGCACACTTAATGATATCAAACCATTATTGAAGTACTTTTGGTTACTTTAATTTTGTGGTCAAATATAGTCACTCAAATATATATAGTCACCAGTCACTAAAAAATTTATTGTAATTTTCCCATTTGTGGAGGAAGCCCAAGCAAGCTGTTAGATGATAATGGAGACTTTCCTTGAACTCCAAACTGTAATGTCTTTATTTTACAAGAATTAGTCTTTAACTTTTTTGCTTAATAAAGACTAGAACTAGACGCATTAGATATATTACTTTAATAATATAAAAATCTAACTTAAAATCAAGTTCTTTCCAATTTCCATATTTTTACGTTACAAATCTTTAAGAGATTGAAGTTTTGGGCTTTGCTCATAACTATGCAGAATTATCCAAAAACCGAAATGGTTGTATATGTTGACTTTATCATAGGATAACGGGTTAGGTAAAATGATTTGTCATTAGACTGTACTATTAATATTCAGAAAGTAATACCATAAATAGTTTTTGGGATTATAGATCTGATCTAATGCATTATTAGATCTAGTATTATTGACGAGCAACGAGTATTTACACTTCGTTATATATAAGTACTTACTAGCAACTTAACATATGTGTAATATTTGTATGTGTTTGTGTTCATACTGGATTACATTGAGTTTTGGTGCATTTCGAGCACGGTGCTGACTATCATTTTTAAATGCCATTCAAGGTGCGCTCTCTCTTGCTCGACTTAATCGTACCGACCGAGTTGTCATTTAAACAAAATATTTGAAGAATAAGGGTGTTTGCGCATGCTATTAGTATTTTCCGCATGCTGTAAGTGTGTTAGTGCAACCACACAAAAATATACTCTTTAATGACGAATACAAGTTTTTAGGTGGCAGACTATCATTCACAACATGTTGGCGAGAAGCGGAATCATTTGCTTACCAAAATTTTGGTGAGCACGCCAGCATGTTGATTATGTGTCATCAAACGTGTAGACTATCATTTTTAAGTATCATTTAAGAGAGAAAGTCTAAGAATGACACTCAAAAATGATAGTCTGCACCGAGCTTAAGCCCGGGTATCCGGCATTTTGCATTAAGTCCTTTACTTCATCATTAATTTGTTAATTTGGAACATATGTAGTATCTACTATCACTTTTTTATGCGCAGAATGAGCAGCTATTAAATTTTTATGGCCAATGAGAAGGCCATATTAAAATAAGGTACATATTTTTTAACCAGTTTTGTAAGAATACTTTATTGTAGAGCACGACAAAGACAGCCAATGTTGTACAGTAAATCGCCGATGATTCGTGGGGCTTGAACGTGAATACTAGCGGTATTACCGTCATACAGACGGTAATCAAAAGATTTTCATTTTAAGTAGATTGGGCTTTCCATAGCAAAGAAGAAGATTATACGTTAAAATACGTTAAAATATATGTACTTTATGTAACGATTGAAGAATTTTATCGAATTAATAATATGTCTATCATATTTACTTAATATGTACCGCTCGGGTTCTTGATTAAGTTAGCATATGTTACTATACGGATATATAATAAAATAATTGTAACAAGTTTCGTAATAAAAAGTTTTAGGTTTTCATATCAAATAAAACAAATTTTTGAAACCTTCTAAAACTTGATGATTATGTCGTATTAATAAATATATTTGTCAATGAAAATTAAAATTTGCATTTGACTATAAAATTACTCAAGCGATCTGAATGTACGAGTATTAGAGAGTGTAAGGCAGCATTAAATTATTTTAACTAAGTTTATCTCTGAAGACTGACATCTTTATTTAAGAAACTATCACAGAATTAAGCTGAATTGAATAATTGGCTTAGAATATGAAAAAGAAACTTGAGTTTGCCCTCTAAATAATTTGGTTGATTGTTATCAGAGCATGTTGAGAGGAAATACAATAAGTTCCTCACAATTCATCATCATTACTTCACAATTCCATTACATTACTTATATTTAAATATTTGAAAAGTAATGTAAAGACAATGAATTTTTGTCATCTTTTATGTACATATTGCTTCCGAGTACCATCGTATATTGAAGAATGTCCAGCGCCCAAATGTGTGACCGATTGTTGGTATTCCACGCAGAATGAATGTCGCACTATTGATAACCTTCGTGAGGAATATAGAAAACATATGTGAATTCTCAACAAAGTAACTTAATAGTAAAGCATAAATAAAGTGAGTTTGACGTGGTTTAAGAGAGGCGGTGCCAATACGATTCATCACATAATTAAGAAAGGGGCATGAATCACAGAAAACGAGAACGAGGACCTCCTTGGTCAGCTGATCTTGATCTTGATGATATGGGCAACATATTGAGTTATATCTACGGTGTATATTGTTTTAAAATATGAAAACCAAAAATTCATATTCACATTGAATTACAGTTTAACTCATATTTTTGAGTCCATATGGTTTTTGATTGATTGACTTCTCCTGATGAGGTTTAACGATGCTTACAAAAAATATCGACAATACTCTTAATTGCGCACATTAACATTGATTAATTAACATTGTAATTGCATAAGAGCACCCATCGATTATCAGTTACCAGCTACAGTATATCTCATATCTTAACTTTGTATCTGCATTGAATGAGTATAAGATCAATTGAAATAGTAATTTGCGGATGTTCTCGCTACTGCGTACACGGGCTAAGGAAAGACCCAACCAATTGTCTAAAACATGATTGTTCTAAAAAACCTCGTTCTTGCATATGAAAGAAGTACATAGAGAAATCCTCTACCTATTATAAACGAAAAAATTTATATAAAGTTCAATCTCAACTACTCTAAATGTAAGAAATGATACCACTGAGTGCTTTATGCTAGTAGGAGACATCAGTGGTAGTGTTCAAAACTTGAAGTTTTCGGTTCCACTTGAAGACTAACTTTTACTAATTAATATGTATTAAGATGTAATTTTTTTTTTAATCTAAAACTGACCTTAAATTATTAGAATGATTAAGTCAACCAAAAATAGTGCAGTAATCAACTTTCAAGAAATTATAGTAACTTATTATTATTGTTAAAGTGTATTGCTTCCATAATTTCTATACGAAATAATTCTATTTGTCGATTGCGTGAACACTGCAAGGCTTACTGTAGTTCTGTGTGGTCATTGATGCACAGGAAACCACGCAGAGAAACTGCATATTCCCCATAAACCTTACTGCAGAAGTTTTGAATACCCGCAGGAAAAAGAAACCATAATCCACTTCCTCTGTGAATGTCCGGCTTTGTCGTCTAGAAAATATAGGTTCTTAGGAAGATACTTCTTTGATTGTTTATCCGACTGTTTATCGGTGAAGACGAAAGACCTATTAAATTATCTAAATTCGGCGGAATGGATTTAGTCTCTATTCTTCTATACCAGGGTTCTTGCGAGAAATGTGATAGCAAAACGACGAAAAATCACTAATTGAAGTACACGAAAGTGATCTAATGACCTGCTACTGCAACCAACCAATCAACATATTCTATTTGTCAATTTGTTAGTGTGGATATATCTTTCAATATTCAAATGACAATAGAATGTGTATATATATACTTTAAAAATCAATTATATCTAAATTCCTATAAGGCAATAAATTTCTCAAAGTTTTGATGACGTAGTTGTTGGAGCAATCGAATTTCTCAAGCTATACGCATCTGATCGTACAAACCACAAACTTTTTATAACAATGGCTTAAGCCAAAATGAATAAAGGAAAAATATATATCCATTTCTCTTTGAGCATGTTTCAATCTATTTCTGACTGGGTAGTTTTCCTATAAGATTGTGACTTGCTTGTTGCTCCAATTGATCGCATCTGCAGATCTACAGTTAAATTAGATTGATTGCACTGTAAGTGCGCCTTAAATGGTAGAAATCGTTTATGAAATCGTTTATGAATAATGAAAAAATCCAAAGTATCAGCTGTAGGGAAGCTATTTATGAAAAAGAAAAAAAAGAGCAAGTAGACAAAATAATTCGAAAAGCTAAATCAGACATTCGAAAAAAACGTGAGAATATTTTTGTGCAGCAGAAGCGAACGAAATAAAATTTTGGTGAGGAAGTGACTGCATTCTATGGACTATGCGCTTAGATACTTTAGTTGTTGGCAAGCAGTGGGCATGAAAGGAAAGTAAATTTGCACTGAATTTTGATATCATACTAAAAGTTAATAGGATTATATACAAAATAAATATTTTGTATCAACTAAGTGTAAAGCAGATTAATAGTGTGTGAAGAAGTGGAAAGTATTCATTTGAATTGAAGAAAAACATGGCTTAATCATTTTTCCATTGTGTTGAAAAAAATATATATTTGCTTTTATTTTTCTCAATTCGGAATTTCCATTTCCAAAAAATTTGAACAGCTGTTATGAAACGAAATATGTAAGTTCTCGCAAGAAATTCTTCTACTGATCTGTGAACTCAAGAGAACTTGTGTCCATGGGGGAAGTGCAATAAAATATCCGAAAATAAAACGTTGCTGCAGTGCATTGATATTTAAAGTTCTTTGTTGTAATTTTGTATATTGTATATTTACAACAAAAATCAAGTAATCAAAAAAAAGCGAAGTATATATGTTTATTTATATACAACATATAGGGCAGAAGAAATATATAGAAATATAAAATTGATTATTTGACATTTTCGACTTTGCTGGCTCTTTGGTAAAATGACAAAGCAATGCCTACTTCACAATACTGCCAACAGCTGCAGCAACTTTATCACAACAACAACCGAAGATTTAGAAGCAGATCCATTACCAAAATATCAACATGATAAAAATCGTGGAAAGTGGGGATCGAAAACCGAGTTCATGTTGTCCTGTATAGGATATGCTGTTGGTATTGGCAACGTCTGGCGTTTTCCATATTTATGCTATCGCAGTGGTGGTGGTAAGTTTTGGTCGAACACTTGACCATATGAGCACTGATACTCCAAATTAGCATCGAGGTTGTTGCTTGAATGTTAGTTAACTTATTGAGTTATTGAGAAGGAAATAAATCAACATGAACTGATATTTAGTGTTAATTTTTTCTTGCCGAGAGTGACGCATCTTTATGACGAAAAGAAACTATTTAAAAGTTAGACGGATTCGAATAGAAAAGAAAAGACAAGGACAAAAATTACAAAAATTTATTTATTTTATTGAAATTTGGCTAAACATACATCGCTGTTTCGAGTATTGTCAAGTACTCATCATCAGTGGTATTTCCTAAGACCAACTATAAAAATTGATTCGTTGAATTTGTGTTTCCAAATAAAGTTGTGGTTTATAAGCTCGTTCTAATTTAAAGTACAGCAATTGCTGGGATTCGTGTCACTAATTAAATAAAGTGTGACAAAAAACCTGCAACTTGAGCATTGAAAGTTTATGCAGCCTTGCCAACTTGTGGAGAAACACGATTAGTCATCGCTTCTAATTTGACAGGCATGAGTTCTCAGCTTGGCACTTGCAGTCCAAACAAATTATATATGCACTATAAACTAATTAGTCTAATTCGAATATTTCCTAAGACCACTGATGGTGAGTACTTGACAATACTCGAAATTTATAAACTGATTCCTTTTAAAAGTACTGATTCTCTGCATTTTTTTGTGTATAATATTCGTATAGTTGTACTAGTCTACTTATTTAATAAACGTGAACCTCTCATTTTTCAATAAATCCGGCCTATGGCTTTATTACCGTTTTTATTTTTATTTCTACTTTCGTTTAAGATTTCTGTTCTTTAACCATTAAAGACCACTAAAGGTTTTCTTTACGTTTTATTCCTACAATATCTCTTCTTCTTTTATCAGTTAGTTTGAAATACTTTTTTTTTGAATAATAGATTACTACCTTTATTACTACCTTTAGTAATGCCTATTTCGTTCGACAACTTTTCCTTATTATTTTAAAGACAAATCCCGTACTTTTTAAAAACAATTTTTTAACTTTAGAACTAACAAAATTTCGTAAAAATTCGATTTCGAAATATATGCGATTGCCATAAAAGGGATACCCATCGTTAGTTCAGTTGTCTGTTTCAATGTTTCAATGATGGCAATATCTGCCTTAATCTATCGATTCAGATTTGTCTCTTCAAATGTTATTCTTAGAATACCTAAGCAGAATTCTTTCCGTTGCTTAACATTTCAAATTTTATAATCGTCTCCTCGATAGTGTTCACCAATGATTTTTAAATCGGAGATCCTTAAATCCAAATTATTCTAAGTTATAAATCAAAAGAAAAAATAATTTATTTGATATATTTCCTCATAATTAATTTATACACATTTCTATATTAAATTAAAGTTGTCTTCTGAATCCTAACTTGTAGCATACACCCTCCATATATTGCCAGCTAAATATAAGGTTAGTCATAGGTGCAATTTCTTCGAGGTTGACAGGAAGTTATTTAATAATTCCGCATAAAAATCTGTTGAGCTGATTATTATTATTGAATTTATTATATTTTAAGGTGCTTTCCTGGTTCCTTACTTGCTAATGTTATTTTTTTGTGGAATTCCTTTATTTTTTATGGAAATCGTTATGGGCCAATTTTCAAGTACTGGCTGTATTGGCGTTTTCCGTTTGGCACCGCTTTTAAAAGGTAAGTTTCGTGCTCTGCATATCAACGAATTTATCAATGGATTTAACTGTTTCAATTTTCAGGAGCTGGATTTGCAATTGTGGTTGTTAATTTCTTCTGTACCTGTTATTATTCCGTGATTTTAGCATATCCATTATTATTTATGAAAAAAATTTTTACCAATACATTGCCTTGGACATCGTGTAATAACTCCTGGAATACGGAACATTGTATTGATATATCAGAGGTTTGCATTTTTTTTAAATAGTTATATATATATGAAAAGGTGTAATCTTAATATGTTTTAGCTTGCGCACCATAATTTTACCGATCACAGTGGTTTCAAGACGCCAGCTGATGAATTTTTTCAGTAAGTTTTATCACAGGTAGGAATCTATTGTTAGTTTTGGTTTGTTGACTTACATTTGTTGATGTAGGGAATTTACTTAAAAGATTGTGAATTGTCCGGGAATAGTATAAAACCTCCAATATTTCACTTAACAATACTCCGTAATAATTTCACTGTTTCTAAAAAATGTGAATCAAGAGGGAAATGTTGACCAGACATTGGTTACAACGACAATAGATAATAGAGGGGGTTGTTGCATTAAAAGAGACTTCATAGTCTCTAGAAAGAAGAGTGATAAATAGAGCAGAAGAAATGTGAAGCAATACTAAAATCGTGGATTAATAACAAAAAAATGTATTACTTAAAATTTAATATTTTTTAGTTTTTTATGTTAATGGTGTTATATTCGAAATCTCCTGTAATAGCCAAAATTATAGGAGAGGAAATGTGTATTGTTTTGCGATAACTTAAACTATAACTATAACTTTGAAATGATTTCTAAAAAACGATGTATAATGAAAACGATGACTAATAAATTATGACATCGATATATTGTTACTTAACATATTTTATGATGATTTCTTTTGGAATGAGCAAATTCTCTTAATATATATAAACATTTATAAGTTGATTTGAAAATATAATAAGGAAATTAAACATAAAACAACAGAATCAGAAGTAGTCGAGTCTATCATCCGAGAAACACTCAAATGGTATGACAATCCACAAATTCTGTTCATAACGACTATTGGAGTTTTATCTCTGGTCAGGAAAGCAAAAGAAATCTCTTTCCTGATAAACGAAACAACTTTTTGGATTAAAATAATTAACTTTAAAATTAAGGAAGTCAACAAGTTCAGAAAGTAGTTCAACAGGAGTTATTTACGAAAACGGACCAGTTTTTGAAAATCATTTTTGCAGAGTTTAGTACAACGATGAGTGAAAAGAACTCGTCATAGGAGAGACCAATAAACTCTTTGTTGCAACAAATTTATTTATATATTTAAATAAGCCATGGACTAAGAAAAGTAAAGAAGACACATTATCAAAAATAATAATATGTATTCACAGCACCCGATTGAAAAGAGTAGGATCTATGTAGGCTGACAATATCATTATCGATTAAATATTGTATTAAATTTGTGAAAATTTTTTGCAATAAAAACCTAAATCTGTTATATGAATAGAAGGGTTAAACAAGCAATTCACACCATGACTCCATAACTATATCTAACATATATGTCGGTATGCCTATCTATCTGTGTTCTATGAAAATATTGTATTCTGTTATTATTGATTATGTAAAATTGTTTATAACTTTTAAAAACTTTGTGAATTCTTCTACGTTTATCTCATTGCTTGCACAGTACTTCTCTCCAGACACAAAGCACGTCAATGGTTTTTCCAGTCCTGAAAACAATTCTTAAAGTTAGTTTTCAGAATGGCTTTCAAAGCTTACAGTGATCAATTTTTATCCCCTCAATCGTATCGAAACAGTGTCTCCGGAGCGGTTTCTTGAGCGTAGAAAGCCAGTACTAAATCAGTACTAAACCAAGCGTATGGGATAATTGTGAAAGATTGTGAGTTTAATTTTACTAGGGACATAAAATGGATAAGATGCTTAGTAATTTTGCTTAAAAATTTAGAAAAAATGTGAAAAAATATTATTTTTTTATTAAGATTTCAGAATTTTAATATTTATTTTATTTGTTGATTTATTTTGTTTTATTTTTTCAAGCTTAGAAATTCTTAAACTATCCAGCGGCATTAGTGAGCTTGGTGAAATAGTATGGCCACTCTTTTGGTGTTTAGTATTAGCTTGGTTAGCAGTTTACATTTGCATTATCAAAGGCATTAAGACGGTAAGTGTTCATGTGTCTTGTAATAGCAAGTTATCAACTCTATATCCTTTCCTCCACAGGTGGGCAAAGTGGTATACTTTACAGCAACATTCCCATTTTTTATATTAATAGTTTTATTTATGCGCGGCATCACACTCACAGGTGCCATGAAAGGCATCTTATTTTATATCAAACCAGAATGGTCGCGACTATTAGACTTAAAGGTTTGGGCCGATGCTGCTATACAAATATTTTTTTCTTTGGGTCCTGGTTGGGGTGGCATAGTAAATATGGCCAGCTTCAACGAATTTCGCAATAATGCCAAAACGGATGCCATTATAATACCAATTGTAAATTGTTTTACCAGCATTTTTGCCGGCTTTGTGGTATTTTCAGTGCTCGGGTTTTTATCGCGTAAGCTTAATATGAAAAATAATATTATTAGTATTATGAATTTATAAATAATATTAATTTCTTATATTTTGTGTAGATCAAACTGGTATACCGGTAGCAACGGTTGCTACTTCAGGACCTGGTTTGGCCTTTGTTACCTATCCACAAGCAATTGCCATGCTGCCGCTTCCACATTTATGGGCTGCTTTGTTCTTCCTAATGCTATTCCTATTAGGATTGGACAGTGTGGTGAGTTTCTCAAATTTATAGCAAAAAAAATTTAATAAATATGTTAATATAACTTAAAGTAACAAACATACTTAAATATTAAAACATTTGACCTAGTACTAAAATGTTTAAAGCTGAATGAAAACCAATGGATTTTTCAGAATAATAATCTATAATTATTATGGGTTATTGATTCTAGATTGGATTTGGTTGTAGTAATCTTTGTATGTAAGCGTGGGCAAAAACGCATATAACTTATCTTTAATTGGATTTGAAAAATTAAAACTTAACAAATGTTATTGGTTTATACCCAATCTAAAGCTTAAAAAACTAAATAAATTAAAAAAAGCATTTAATTTTTGATAAACAAAAATTAAAAAATTAATTAATCTTTGTACCAAAACTATAATATATAGTAAGTATTACACAGTTTATCCATTTGAATTCCCTGAAAGTTTGAGTCATGCTGATCCATACAATTCACGTCACATAGAAGCTCATATCATTTGAATTAAATTCAATGGAAAGGTTCTTATTTTATCGTACCATCATTTATTTATGTATATATTCATCACTCCCATTATTATTGACGATAATAATTGATTGATTTGCCACTAGTTCATGACATAATTTTTTAACTAGATTATCTATGGGAAGCATTCTGCATCTACTGCAAAGATGAAGTCAACCTAAGTTCAAGTTCTTTGTCAGGCGTCAGGTTGTCAGGCTGACGCGAAAAAGTCAGACTCTACTGGATACTAGTCTTTTTCTGAGAATTCAATCCAATTTCACTAAGATTTTAAGTTAGTAGTTTTTATCAGTACACTCTGTTTTCACTAAAATATAAACACAATAGTATGGTGAACTTTTATTGTGTTGTAACTTGAGAAAGCAAACATCCAGGATTATATAATCTAAATAAATTTTGAGAAGTCATTTTATTCACTAATTAACGGCGCTAATCTAATGAAAATTGGCCAATCTCAATTTGGATAATCAAGGTCTCAGGAATTAACTGGTATAATATTCATAAACTGCAGCAACTGGCAGAATCCATCGTTTCCACAGATAATATTAAAAGGTCTAGATCTACTACTCATTTCTGTGAACCGGTCCCTTTTGTGGAATAAATTGTTTTCTAGATGAAGTTAGAATTTTCTCAACAGCTAGTATTTAAGTTTTAATTCAAAAGACGGAGTGTCTTTTTTCAGAAAAAGTCATGAGCTACACAAAATATCAGCCATGAAAACTTAATGTATTTGTGGTGTATAACTCAACCTTTGCTCTACTAAACATGTATTCGTCCATCTGTTCCATAATTTCACTATGCACGCGCATTGGAGTTCAATTGATCTGTTGCTCCATTCGACTAAATCCAAATATAAGTTAATTTCAGAATATGTCCATGTTCACGTAAACCGACCTTTATCTCAGTCTATTTCATCTTACACCGCCCCATTTAAATTTATTAGGAATCAATAAACAATGTATGCCAAGTGGCTGCTATATATAAAATTCCTATATTATATTAGGAATATTATTTAATTAGTATTTTTACTTGCTTTCTATATTGTTTTATAACTAATATTTATTAAATTTAGTTTGTGCAAATAGAAGCAATTATATCCTCAGTGCTGGATGAAATCCCAAAACTGCGCGCCTACAAATTCGTAACTACAATTACAACGTGTACAGTCATGTTTTTGATGTCCATCATAATGGTTACTAGAGTAAGTCGAATATTTGATATATTATCTTATTTATTATGGAAAAAATGAACAGATTTCATGGCCTTTAGGGAGGCATGTTTATTCTTCAACTCTTCGATTGGTATGCTGCGTCAATTTCTGTGATTTTTATTTGCATACTAGAAGTGGCAATGGTATCGTGGATTTATGGTGTTCAAAATTTTATAGATGACATTTATTTTATGACAGGTAAAAAGCCTGGTTTAATTTGGTACATATGCTGGAAATATGTAACACCCATAATATTGATTGTAAGTATGAACTGTTGTCCTTTTATATTTAAAATAAAATTTGACCACTACTTATAGGGAATATTCTTCACGACTATTGTTTTCAATCGTGACATAACCTACAATGGTATTGTCTACCCTATGTGGGCTATTACGATTGGTTGGTTGAGCTGTTGTACCTCAATTGCGTGCATTCCCATTTATATTCTATATAGAATGTGTGGAAATCGTAAGGATTTTCGTAACCATCTAAGGGAGAGCCTTACGGCGGCAGATTGGACACCAGCAGATGAACAAAATCGGTTAGGTTACGAAGAATTTAAACGCTCACGAAAGGTTGCTGGAGAACTATATAATATAAATTTGAACAGAATGGAAATATAGAGGTTTCGAATGTTTCAACTATTCTATCATACGAGGGCGGTTTGATAAGTCAGTGACTTTTTGAATAAAACAAATTTTTTTTCGGCAAATAAACATTTTATTTTTCTACATAATTACCTTTTACCTCGATACATTTAGTACAGCGTTTTTCTAATTTTCTAATTCCCTCCAAATAATAGGTTCTCTCAAAGCTCTCAAAATGCGCATTTGTTTCACCTACATAATGACTTCTTCATTCGACTCAAATCTCTACCGCCCAGCCATTTCTTTAGGTTTGGAACAAGAAAATGGTCGCTGCTTTGAACGGCTATCAAACGCCAACTGAACGACGTAGCTTGCTCAAAATTAGAAAGTTACCCACTGGAAGATTACAGCTGACGGCAGCACTATTGCATTTGGAGTAACTCCGCGGGAAATTCAAAAAGTCACTGACTTATCAAACCGCCCTCGTATATTAGTACAAATTTGAATAATTATTAAGTACAATATTTTTAATTTAATTTAGTTTTAACAAAATAAGTTTTGAGTTTTATGTGAATATTAAAAAAGTACAGGATTCTATATAGAAAATGAGTTAATAAAATTTATTAAGAACACAACTGCAGATTTAAAATAAAGATTAATAAATTGCTTGTATATTCGAGTTCATATTAAATCGAAATAAATGGATAGATTTTATAGTTCCAGGAAAGTCAGCATTAACGCCTTAAAATTATTCGTCGTAGACGACCAGGTGTCCCTCATAATTCGTGCTCAGAAGGATAACAAAATACGGACATTTTCCTTCAAATGGGGGAACTGACGAGGTTGTTGTAACCTCGTCCTTCACATACATTGTTCTTTGTTTATGAAACCAATCTGTTACGTGATTAGAAGTATACGACCGATATCAGATAGTATGATATGTTATCAATATTTAAATAATTAACCGTGTTTGAGTTTACAGATGACAACAAATAAATTTCAAGTACATGGTCAAACTCAGATAACACCATATATTTTTAATATTTTGTTAAATTAATTTAAAAATTATAATCACAATAAAAAAAGTGTCTTTATTGCTTTTTGTAACACTGTTCTCTATTGCTCTCTATTGCTCTCTATTGAGTGGCTATTGAAAGAACAATTGTTTGTGGTTTAATGGTTTGATAGGTGCATCCTAATTTTTGAACTTATAAATCTATATACCTATAGTTTATCTGGTTTGGTTCCAATTTTGTATGTTTTCATTTTATTTTTTTAAATTTAAATATTATAAATTTTGTATGTAATATATTAACAAATAATTTCGTTCAGCAATCGACAAAAAATTATTTCCTTGTAGTTAAAGCACATCTCCATCTACTTCACTTAATTGATGTGTCATGTCTACATCACTCATAGCTTCCTCGTATTTTCGACGCTCTTCTGGATCTGTTGGATACCAGTCCAATGGCCTACAACAGCGTTTGAGACGTGTCCAAAATTCTCCCGATGTTTGTGAGACAATGTAAATCCCATAGCCAGGTATTAGCAGCCAAGGTAGCACAATTAAAAATAATGCAATAATAAGCGTTACAGGCGAACCATACAAATGTTCGGAAATCGAATAAAAAATAGATACCAACTGAAATTAAAGAAAATGCATTAAAAGTTTTAATTTTATTTTAGAAAATACTGTGCCTACCAAAGTAAATAACAAAAATATTGGGATTAGATAACGTAAGACATTGATTTTCCAAGTAGCAAAAGTTTTTTCCAACATAAATTCTATATCACGTTGGAAACGTTCACGTCCATATATCCATAGGACTACCAGTAGTAGTAGAAGATCAAGAGTAGTTTGAGTAAATAATGCGTCTGCTTGAAGTGCCGAAAAACTAGCCAACCCATGCTGTAAATGTGTTATGGAATTAAATAATAAATAAATTCGGATGTAGTTGGATGTCAAGTGAGGATTTAGTGCTCAGTGTATACTTACATTTGAGGTGAAATAGAGTGACATTAATGTCAAAACGCCAATGCTTCCAAAAATTGTTTCCTTCCTGTGTTGCCGCAGTATTTCAAATTCATCGAATAAACTAATAAAAATGGTTTGCAGTTGTACAACCTAAGATATGGTTTCAAAATTACATATATATATCCGATCAAGAAATTGTGTAAGTATGTATAATAATTAATAAATGAGTTGTATTTATATGTAAAGTTTGAAATTTATATATATAGATAATAATTAATTATATATTATGAAAATATTTGATTTTCATAAAAATAGCTCCATATCAATATTATAAATATGTAAGGAATATATATATAAATATGTATAAGTATACGTTATATATGTATTGATACAAACTAGATTGTAGTCTACGTCCCGGAGCTAACCGAACTACCTTTTATCCGAGGCAAATAGCGAATGCAAACTAAGCAATAATTTTTTAAAATAGCAGATCTACCTCAATTACAACAACAACAGTAACAGCTTAAGTTTTATCATCAGTAGACATCTGATAATATTAACACTTTGTGCTATAGTTTTCTTTAGTTTTTTGATATAATAATCAATAAATTGCAGACATTGTTTTTCTTGTATTTTTCGAAATCCGTTAATAGGGGTTGTAACAAGCTCTTTAAATCTGAGTTTTTAGGATTGCTCTTTTCTATATCGTCCTTGCGAAAAGTGAACTTGTGACAATATCTTTGAACGTCGTTTTTTTTGACAAGACAAGTGACTCAGAGACATACAGCTATAATAAATGTACAGTAATATACATATACAGTAATAAATATTATATGATACATATATCATATGAGATTTATTATACTTCAACCATGTCGTCAGATATTAAACTATATCTTTTACTATTTCCATAATTCATAATCAGCAGACTTAAGTCCTAGGTACTTTATATGTTATTTCACAGTTTCCTGCCCTAAAAGTTATTACTTCTGGTGCTTATAATAACCGCTTCTGTTTTTTCTGCTGCGAGCTCAAGGTTTGCTTTAATCAGCCATTCGGTAATTATATTCAGTACATGTCGCTGATAGTTTTTCAGTCTTCTTGGCAACTATTGCCACCTCAAGATCGTTTACAAAACCAACAATTGTTGCATTTTCTGGTAATCTGATGGCGCAAGACGCCATTGTACATTTTGTTCCATAGTGTCGATCCCAACACTGATCCTTGTGGTACAACTTTGGATATGGTACACTACTTCACACCCTCATCTGTGTCATAGAAAAGAAATTTATTATCAAAATAATTTACTACGATCCTGCGTAGGTGACCTGGAACCTCGAGATCGTCTAGTACGTGCACTATTTTTGACTAGTTTGCTGTATTGAAGGCATTTTCTGAAGCAAGCGTCAGTAGCGTGCAGAATTTTTTATTGCCAAATCTCTACCTGGTGCCACTTGTAGCTTCACGTGCTATCTCTGTCATCATTCGAATTACATCTATTGTGGATTTGCCACTTCTGATTTCAAATTGCTTCGGTGATAAGCGATTACGGGATTCTAGATAGCAGGCTTAAGTAAGTTAATTGATATGTACACGCGCGCGAATTTTATTCATGAAATTATATTATTAAGTAACCTCTTTAGTTTGCATATTGAGTTCACAGTGAACGAAATTATTTTTAATTTATCAATCATGTCTGTATGTCGCTTGATTCTATCCCATAATTTAAACTAATTTGAGACTACATTCATATGAGTAATTAATTTTGTTTTAAATAAAATTATGGATCCATATCCTTGCAACTACTTAGTTTGTTACACCCGATAATACAATACGATTTTACGATTTGCTGTGCTGAGTGAAAGTCATATGACATTTATCCACACATTTCATTGACAGCAAAATTTTTAATACATCAAGCAACTGGATCGACGTATTAACTAGTAACCGTCAAAATCCGGGATCGTTGAAACCTGGTCTACTCAACTAGCTTATATCAACCAGTAATTTATAAGTTGTAGGAACTTTGAAAACTCCATCGTATAATTTTACAGAATTAAAAGAAGCTAGTAAATTTCAAGCAGTATCAATCCGTAAATTAAAACTTTCATAAATGTCGGAAATTCTTACAATATTTTATAGAATTACCCATTAGACAAAATTAGAAAAGAGAAAGTAGTACACTGTAATCTATGAAATTTATCTATTGTATTACACTCCCAGCTATGCTGAATTGTATTGACGGAAAGATTGGACGAATATTTCAATGTTCTTCGGTTCTAGTTCCATTCTTGATAATCGTGGACATGAACAATGCAGATAGTTTACATATTTGTAAAGAGGGAATCTATTTTTGAACAAATAAATAATTTCAATTTTTTTTAATATTTTCAATTAATATTAGAGTATAAATCTTTAATCTTTCCTGATTTATGAACAATAACATATGGTGTGAAATATTTATCACAATTTCAATTTAAAAATGTATGCTATTGCATACTGTTTATACATAAATAAAGATGACAGATTTGTACTCGTAATGCTAAAATATTAGTCATAACTATTATAAATAATAACATAAAAATACAAATAAAAAGAAAGAAAAGTAACTTAATGAAATTCTTACCATCACGATCACCGCAGTCACAAATAACATGCCGTAGAAGAGTATGGACCACATATTTGCAAAACTCATATTAGCAATAGCAGTGCCGGTAGACATGTATAAGACCCAATGATGCTCCACGAAAGTATAATAATTATTATCAGTAACCTCTGTACAATTATTGTATGTTTTTTTTTTTGTTAATAGTTTATTTGTATAAATAACTTTGTCAAATTACCAACAAAATGCTGTTGTACCAGATAGGAAACGAATCCAAATGCTAAAAAAACTAACAATTGTGCTATACATATAATCCAACTATACCGCATGATGTCTGTGCGAAATTTGTTAAGGCTAGACAGAGTAGTTACATTTCCCCAACCAGCTCCAAAAAATGAGACTGCATAGATTAGAATGCTTGGTATACCTTCTCTCCAATTATCGAAACTGGGATTAAAGTACTTGTGTAAGGCATTCCAAGCACCTGGTAAGAAAATAAAACGCAGTAAACATAAGCATACCACTCCTAATGTACCGATTATAGCGTACCGCACCAATTTACCAAACTGTAAACACAAATATTTGCCAAAAATTGCATTAATATATAAATAAGTTCTCCGACATTTGACACGATGAGTGAACATGTAAACTTAAATAGCATTACCGGTGTCTTTGTCTTACCTTTTCGGGTTCGTAGAATTTGTAAAATATATATGAGATTACAAGCCATGTGATGATACAATAAATAATCATATTCCACGATATAATCAATGGACTAGTACGGTATTCAAAGGGATAATTATTTCCATAATAGCTTCTGAAAAATATTGTTAAAGTGATTATTGTGCAAAGTTAATTGTTCAACTTAATATTACTCAAAGTATAAATATGATGGAACAGAAAAAGTTATATAAGAAAGTGAGTCATTATCTGCTTGCTCATGAGTTATATTGCATAACTGTAACAAAGACAACATGTTTATTATGTGTATATCAATATTTAATATTTATACTTACACTGGGTTTTTCGAGTGAAAATGTCTTATTATCCCATGTTTTAACAGCTTCGCAACTCCATGGTAGTGTAGGCCAAAAGGAATTAAAGAAGAAGAACATTGGGATCACAGCAAATATGCTGTAATACGAGAGTACTGAATAATTCAGTGCTAGACTTATGTATCCCATTCCTAAGAGATCGAGATATATTAATATATACGCATATATAATATGTGCCATACGCTTATGACAATAAAACATACCTTTAAAAAAAGGTGATATCCGAAATACCGATATAAATCCACTGCTCGAAAATTGACCCATAAATGTTTGTATTACCATTAATGGCACAATATAAATGCATAAACATAAAGCGAAAGGCAGTAAACCATACACTATAATTAAAAGTTAAAAGCATATATCATTATAATAAAATATAATTTAAGAGTAATAGTGCTTCCAAGTGTTCTAGCTTTACGTTACTTATGTAGCTCGAATATACTCAAACTCGAACATTTATATCAAACGTATTAAATGTTCGAAAATTTACAAGCTACTCGACGATGTCTTGTCTATTAAAATAGCAAGTCTGCTAAATCCTATTTATTTTTCTTTGTTTTATACAAATATTTATAATAATGATAGCAATGGGTTGTTCGAACATTATCGAGTTTGATCCAAATATTCGAATATAAGAATACTCGGATATAATTATCGAAGCATTGAATAGTTCAAATAATATTTGAGTCACTACTTAACACAGCCGTGTTAGATCGTTTGTGTGATACTGTTTGTAACGCAGGTGAAAATAAACAATTATACATATCGCCATCCTAATTTGACAGCATCGATTTAGTAACAAATGTCAAACATAATTGCCATTTAAAGTATCGTTAGACAACCGTTAAAATTCGTAAAGCAACCTTACGGCTGGGGCAGCGAGGTAGTGAGAATTTACAAATAATTGTGGAAAGATTATTGCGTCCATAAAAAGCTCTGTATAGTGGGATATTTGATTTGAAGGTGTAATACGCCTTACTTTTTTGACGACAGTTTAACAAAAACTGGCTTTTTAGTTCGCTGTAGTCATTTAATAACCAAATTTTTTCCATAAAATTGAAAATGTAGAACAGGATGGTGTAACGAACTACAAGCTATGTAAGTTAGAATATTTATAAATTTCATACAGGTTAGATATGTTATTACAAATGTAATTTAATATGATCCGTAGACATTATAAATTCAAATGAAGCTGTACGTTTGAATATCATATATTATTTACTATATTTTTCATCTATTTATATATATATATATATATATATGTATATATATCTTTAAAATGATTATGAAAACACAAGATATATATTTTTTTATGTATATATAGTTTTGTTGGAGTGAAACACACGAGTCTAGGTGTAATTTAAGACTTTGTTGTGAAGAATTTTTAAAATTTGCTCCGTACGATGAATACGATCCTCTAACGTTGACATTGTGTAAAAATTGTCGTCAAGAGAGTTACCACAACCTTTGATGCCAGTTAGTAGTTGTTCAAGAAAGCTTTGGTTATACCAAAAAGTAAACGCTGAGCCCTAACGGTGTGTTTACAACCATGAATTGCTTTGAAAACTCTTCTAATTCCATTTGAAGATATATAAAGTTTTCATGTTTACAATTTTAATCATCAAGTATATCAATTATAATAAGAACACATAACCTTTATCAAAAAGTTTCGGGAAATACCGGCACGAGGTGTTTTGAAAAATTATCACTAGATGTTGCTTTCACAAATGGGTAGATATCTATTCTAAACTTTGTCCACAAATTAAAGCGATTTAGTTTGATATTTGTAGAAACAAGGTTATCGAGAGTACACCTGCTCATGTGTGTATTTCCGATTTTTTACTATTTTAAAACCGAGAACTTTAATGCACCTACACACATTAATTTTTTTTGCTTTTTTGAGTTTTTAATCCAGAACGCTACAATAATCATCAAACAGCCACTCCAGTTCCTTGATTTGACTTCCTACGGTTTGATCCTCTTTGATCCTCTTGATTCAAAAAATCTTCTGATGAACGCGTTTGGTATTTGGGTTAAGTATTTGGGTTTTCGATTCTCTGAATAAACTCTGAATAACTAACACTGATGTTTAAAATTAAATTTTCATTACTAAAAAATTAAGAAAAAGTAAACAAATTAAGATGAAGTTAGACTTAAATTCAGATAAGCCTGTGATTTCGTTCAAATTTTGAAACTAGGTTTCTTAACAGGCGTCTGAAAGCAACAACTGGACGGTCAATAGTCGGTTTTCATACTTAAGAAAAAAATGCTGGAGATTCTAATATTAATTAATATTAATTAATACTAATTAATAATAATTAATATTAATTATAAAAAATATGAAAAGTGAATAAAGCTTCAGCTCATTATTGAATTGAACTTTTAAAATTCACTATAATCTGTCAATATACAAAGAGATTTATCTAAGTAACTTCATAAAATTAAACAATGACTTATCATCCCCGAAGAGTAATAATTATCTAATAATTGCTATATTTGACAGTAGCAATAAATACAATATCTATTTTAAGACTAATCCAATTGAAATGTAAATGAGGGGCGTACTATACTTACATACCATCTGTTTATGATAAATGTAGTTTTATTTTTAAATCTGTTCCATGTGAGTAATTATTAAATAATTTTTCTATCGTTATTATTGTTTATTTTATTTTTCTAAATTAGATCAACTGTCACATATAACGTGTTACGTAACATGAAACATATTATATTATTAACTATAAAAGCGGTTTCAAGTGAATAGCACTGAGAAGTAGTCAGACATAGATGGACACCTATTTATGGAAATCTGCTTAACATTCAATTAACATTCTATTGAAAATACTTTCTTCGATATTCCACAAAACAATTACTGTATCAAACTGTCCCAAATAGTTGTAAAAGCAAAAAAATACCTATCATAACTGTCAAAAAATGCACGAGCTGATTATGTTTTAATATGAGATTTGGCCCCAACCATTACACCTCATAGACTATAATCCATCTGATTAAGTTCATTTAGTCAAATGGATTAAAATTGGAATCGGAATAAAAATAATGTGAAAAATATCAGAAGTGGGATGCTTGGTGACACCGTTTTTGGCTTCAACATCTTGTATTACCAGAGAAATAAATGAGTTAGCATAGCAAATATTCGGTGAAATGGAGATATAGTGCGGTCCTCTAATTCGTGCAATTTAAACGATGAGATAGAGACGTATTTGAAATTATTGGCTTGTGCTGATAAATCAGCGATGGCTTCAGCTCTCAAAATAGATATAGAGTGTGTGATTCGCGAATGTGTTAGAGACTGTAACTGTTTTTTTTTTGAAACATTTGTGAAAAACGTAAGCTCGTGGGTGGAGTTCTTGACATTTTTGCAAGAGCTAATTTACCAAAATGTTTTTCCGTCATTTATGTCACAGCCGAATAATAAAAAAAGATTTCATTCATTCGTTTAAATGTGTCTATTTTCTTCATTTTAAAAGTCTTCTACCGCTTTAAAAAATACTAATATATTAATATACATTAATATTTGACTGCAGTTCTGAGACGTCTGTTGGTTCGATAGAAGTCAGACAAGAATAATAGGTTTATTACTTGTTCATACCATACCACAGGTACGTATGAAAGCGTAACATATAAGCAAGTATTTTATATAAAATTTTCTAAATAATGGCTTTAACTTAAATAATTAACACACATAAAAGTGCAATATTATCAAAGCTAAACTAAAGTGTGGTCCTATAATTACTTTACATAGTTTATCCAGGAAAAATATTATCTAAAAATAAATCACTTTCCGATCATATAATAAAAATCTAAACATAACATCAATAAAATTAAAAAAATTTTTTTTTCTTTGCAAACAGAAATTTTAAAATGACATTTCGATAACCCTAAATATATATTATTTTGATATTGTCGTTATCTTACCTCCCATATCAAAAAAGAACATCCAGCATAAGGAAAAGACTTCTATTTTGAATGATGAACTGATGCAAGCGTAGACAAAATCTGTTGGTGAGGACCAAAATCCACGCTCCTTATCTGGCCGAAAAGGCGATCGGCCAAATTCGTAAGACGTTTCGTACACCATTTTTTCACAATTATCAATTATTATTTTATTCTTCAAAAGCAAGACAGAATTAAGCACAGTTTTTCGTCTGGTAATTAAATGTCACTGCGTTACGTTAAAGCACAGTTTTGAACTTGAAATCGTTTCGAAATGAGTTAAAAACGTGATCTCATTCTAGAGTAAACTTAATGACCGATCCAGAGATGAAAGACGAAAAATGGAAAGAATTAATTGAAAATATTAAGTGTTGAAGAAGAAGCAAGCAATTATTTTATCGCCTTCATAAGTTTGAGCTCTTAGCAAAGACAAGTCGCGAGATTTAATAAATCGTAATGAAAATTAAACAAAATAAAAGCGAGTGCATTGAAGTTCACCGCGTTGCACCGTACTGCACCCCACCTCACCTAATCGCTCGCCAGCTAAGAAGAGATTTTTGCGAACCTATTTGCGGCGACGACGCCGAGCAACTAAAATATGATTTTGGCTGTGGCTGGCTTAGCTAAACTCAGAAATTAGTCGGCCACAGTACTCGATTTAATTATCAGCGATTTATTTGATTTCGTTTGAAAAGCATCTGACGAACGCGTACTCCAAATTGCATCTCAACGCGTCAAAATTATGAATTTGATTTCACTGGCTTAGCGTTTTGAACTGCTGTAAGCGGACTGCGACGAAACATACGTGGCTCCGAGATATAAAAGCGAATTTTTTATAATTTGTTATTATTTTTTATTATGTGCCACAATAATTGCCCATACAAATGCTTTTTGATAACTGATATTAGAAACATCAACAACAACAACTACTACTACTACAACAACAACAACAACAACAACAGCACCATCAATAATATAACGAAATCCAGTGACAACATCAACAATAGTAAAGTCAACACATGATTGACAGATTTGTAAACAAAATAAAAACGATTTAAAACGATTTGTTGGAAAAATTCTTAAATTCGAGCAAACAATTCAATCGAGATATTGTTTCCTTAGAATTTGTCTGAAAAGAAAAACACTCTATTCATGGAAATCGAAGAATGAGTAAGATTTTGGCATGGATTAATAAAATCCATTTAAAATAAGGAAAGACAAGAGCCGTACAAGAATTTCTTTGCTGGTACTTGATAATACAAAAGTATCATCATTACAAAATAATGGGTGATGGCAGGTAAAATGTACGCAATGGCTCAGATCCGATCATATGCGAAGAACACATCACAAGGACAAGGCAAGTCACAAGGACAAAATGCATAACAAGATCCAGATTACTTAGACTAATTGTTAGTAACATGTTTTTAAGTAAAGACAACTTCACACTAAACTCAAGTTGACTATATATTACTTATCAGGATGCAGTGATCAACAATATGTTTGTTGCAATATATGAATAATAATCATATATGACTATGAAAACACATTCAGGTGTTTTTCTTAAGTAATTTTAAAAAATTGTATATAAAATACTATAATTTGTAGTTAAAACATTAAAAACTTATCCATTAAGTAATAATATTTTACTTTTTCAGATGCATAATATCCATATTATACTAATAACGTTCTCTGTCATCTGCTCAGTCTCCGTCATCAGTGGGCCGGCAACAGCACTTGTAGTGCTTGCCTATGGAAAATCTTAATTTAAAATTGAATAAACGTCGCCACAGTTGCTAATTTAAGCATCCTTATCTTAACATTACTAATATTTTTAATTCTTGCGCTATACGTGTACATATATACATATGTAAGTGTGTATACATATATATGACGATATACTTCGCCAAACCAGTTCAGGAAATATGAATCATAAATTATTAATGAAAATTTTGCTTCTAAGAGACACATACCTATATAGTATTATAATGAAGAAAATAACATTTGAGTTCTTCCCAAATATTTTTTGTAGTTTCCTTCTTTTGCTGACAGTTTAAAGGTTATCAACATTGTTAATTGACTATCAACCCCCTATCTATTATCGAGACCTACAAGGAAAAGTCAAAGGAAAACAATGGTTTGGTATGAAAAATGGAATAAAATTATAAAATAAATCTGTAATTATAAAAATTATTTTATAACAGAATCACGTGTACACACTCATAAGAAATAACGTGTTTTTTCTTTTTTATATAATAATAAAAATAAATATTCTCTTTTAATAATTTCGAACATTTTTTTATAATATAATACTAAAGAAATTTCATTATCTCCAAACTTTCTCATTAGTACATTGAAGTCCTTACAATACCACCCTTGGTTGGCAAAGTTGCCTAGTTTGTTAATCGGGGGTGAGACATTGTCGATCGCTGATAAGTTTTTATTAGCTCTAGCTTGAAAAGCGCTATTCATAATTTTTTCCATATTAAAATAGTTATTCAAATTTAAGACTTGACAGAGGTAACATCATTGCCATCAGGCAAAAATGATTTCACACTTATGGATTCATTACAGCAGTTACATCCTATAGCAAGTCTACGGTCAATCTCCAATTATTGATTGGAAATCATCACGGAGTTTCAAAAACTATATTCTACAAAACTAACCAATATTCGAAGTACCCATTTAATTAATAAAACCTTTTATTGAGTGAATTTAATGTACTAGATAAGGTACAGTTAAAAAATACAATTTCATATATGTTGTCTGGAAAAGTTAAAGTCGCGTCGCAGACAGCATCACCAGACTAACGTTGATACCGTCGAAACCTATTGGCTTTTAAAACGAGTTTAATTTTAAGCTTTCGCTAGTAAAATGGGGTTTATAAAATCTCTCTCTGTTGCTCTATACTTCTCCATGTAAGCATAATATTTTTATCAATTCTGTACATTTATTAAGATCTATATCCGTTTATTTGAACATTAATTTGAAAACTATCTCATCTAAACGAAACTATGAAGTTGGAATTTCGTTTCTTGGTTTTAATGACCATTGTAATTGATGGATGGTGAATGGGATTTATTTTATGCCGAACTAATATTGTACTGGTTATTTTTGCTTCCCAACATACGTCACTAAAAAAGTGACATCCGTTGAGTGTGATTACAAGTTTAAAATTCTTGGTAAAAAATAATTTTATGATTTAAATTTGTCGCCCCATCAATGCTTTCGTCCTAGGCCATCACCCCACTGAGCTCCCTGTCACCCAAATGCCGCCACTGGATATATATTGTAAAAGAATGCTATCAGAGTACTATATGATGATGACTACAGAATATAGTCAAAATATCGATTTAAATAAAATTTAAATTAATTAATTTAATTAAAATGGAATAAATCATTCCTTGTATGGAAATACAATTTCTTATGCACTTGCCATAGGCTGATTTAAGTTTGACCTTCATGGAATTTTCTTTTTATGGCCGAAATCGAACCTAAACTGCCTTCCAGAAACTTCAAGCTTTATAAAAGGATTTCGTAATCATGAATTCCGCATAAGTCTTACTTCTCAGAAAAAACATTTAGGTTAGAGAGAAGTTAAGGTGCCTCCTCATGTTGCACTGAAACTGTAATGCAATTATTGCGAAAATTAAAACTATAGCTAAAAATAAGCAGATGTATCAAGACTTCATGGTTTTGTAAGAGAGTTTCTTCAAAAATTCTAAAAATATTTTTAACACTAAAAGTAGACATTTAAGCAATTATGGAGAGACGCAGTACAAAACCCATATTATCTTAACAAATGGCCAAACACATTTGTCTTAATGTAAACGTTTTTTATTTGATACTTTAAACAAAATATGAATAATTACGTTAACTTATATTTTTGAAATAATTTTACACATTACTTATATTATATTATATTAAAGATCACAATTCGCAGTTCAAAAGTTAATTATTAATTATTACATATTAGTTAATTAATTATTATTAATTAAACATTTATTAAAAATAGTAGATCAATTTTTTAGTCCGCGTCAGCAGTGACTTCGTTCAGTTGATGCGTAATATCCATATTACCCATTGCGTCCTCATAACGTTGCCTGTCATCTGCTTCTACTGGGTACCAATCAGTGGGTCGGCAACAGCGCTTGAATCGCATGCCGATGGAACCAGTTGTTTGCAGCATGCTCAGTATCCCGTAGCCGGGAATAGCGAGCCACGGCAGTAAGATGAATATAAAGGCCAGAACTTGTATAACCACACTTGTGAATAGGTGCTCGTAAAAAGCGAGGGAAACTGTGATGAGCTTGAAAATAGAATGATTTATTTGTGGTTTATTCAGTACGTATTGTATTTGGTAGGTGTTCGGAACATACCATGGTGAAAAGTAAACAAATAGGTGATATAAAACGCAACATATTCACTTTCCACGTTGAGAACCGCTGACCTAACATAAACTCAATATCGCGCTGAAAACGTTCACGTCCATAAATCCACAGTACCACCAGTAGCAGAATCAAGTGAAGTACAGTCTGCGTGAGCAGTGCATCTGTTGAGATTGTCATGAAATATACAATACCGTGCTAAAATATAATATAAGAATTGAAAGTAAACCAAATTGTGCATTTAAGTCTTGAACATTACTTACACTGGAGCAATAATATGTGGAAATCAATGCCAGAGAGCCTATTATAACTAAAGACACTTCATGTTTGCGTTCTCGTAAAACCTCAAACTCATCATAGATAGCAAGTAATGTGGAAAAAAGCTGAGTTACCTGAAAATAGTAAAATAAAGGATTAGAATTAAGTTGCCGAGCTTAGGCAAATATTCATGTTTACTATCATTATTATAGAGGCAAGCGTCATCATGCCGTAGTATATGATTGACCACAGATTTGCTAGTTCCATTGTAACTAATGCTGTACCAGTAGAAAGAAATAATTGCAAATGATGTTCAACATATTCATAATAAGTTTTATCTTGTGTTGCTGTTGGAAAAAGTATTTTTATATCATTGATTTCATATATGTATGCATTATTTTTCGGGACTTACCGTGGAAGTGTTTCTGTATCATGAAACTGACCATGCCAAACATTAAAAATATTCCCAACTGACCAAAACATATGAGCCAACTTTGCCGCATAATATTCGTTTTGAATTTATTTAGACTCGAGAGCGAGATAATGCTTCCCCAACCGCCACCAAAGGCCGCCAAAACAAAAAATGGAGCGTTTGGTAGGCATAAAAGCAACTTGTGCGGGGACGGCAGAAAGAAATCTTCAATATTGTCAAGAACTCCAGGTAGAAAAAGAAAACGTGCTAGGCAAATGACAAGCAAGCCCATTGTTGTTAAGAAACCGTAACGTAATAGTTTTCCTAGCTGAATAAAAAAATTAAATGGTAAGGAAATGGAAAGTAAATGGCGAACAATAAGAATAAGAGCACTTAAAAAGACTACAGTGGGGACTGCTGTTCCAAAAATAATGTTTAGAATCATAAATTATTAAATTGAGACTTAAATTGAGAATTTTTTCGCAAATATTAAGTTTTGATTAATTTCCTTCTTCAACATATGCTACTTGCTGATGTGTTCTTATAAGGTCTGGAATAGCACCAAATTTTTGACCGTTGTGCATAGGTAGGTAAGTAGATTGGAGTGGCGACCTTGTTTCCAAAAAAGCCCACCTGCGCTGAAATCACCACAATGTTGTGCATAAACAATAATAAAAAGAATTGAAGATCTTTTCTTATCTCAAATACTCTTTTCAAGTATTGTTTTCAATATTGGTGTGTAATATGGACTATATGTCAATGAAATTTAGAAACTATAAATTTCTTGCATTCTTTAAAAACAACCATTTTTAGTTTCTGTATATAAAAACCTTTTAAACAGATACTACAACTCATAAAAGGTAACTGTAAGTTTTCGTTGATTTTCTTAATTGTCATTATGTGAAATAAAGTTCTTCGGATCCTCTTGAAAAATATGGATATCACTTATTCAAGATTTGAATGACATTGATCATTGATCATGATTTACTAATACTGCAGTTATAGTTTTTAAATGACTATTTATAAAAAAGTTTAGAATTTTTAAATTTTTAAATATTTTACTGGTATTTTTAAATAGTTTTTGATATCAAAGTATTTTAAGCTGAAGTAAAATTGGAAACCTCACAGTTTTATAATCCATATTCGTGAGCTTATTTTGAACTAGCCCTTAGTTTTCTACCTTTGTCTCGTTTTCAAAATAATCTATTCAAAACTATACAAATATTTACTGAATCATTTTACACAGGTACCTAAATACTCTGAAAATATATAGATTTATAGAAACAAATTGATCACTAGCTTACCTTTTCTGCTTCAAAGAAGTAATAGAATATAAATGCTATTATACCCCAACCAATAAAATTGCAAACTACCAATGGCCATGATATGGAAAAAACATAATTCTCGGGATCATAAGGAGTGAAGCTTTCAAACAAATATCTAAAAAAAGTATATACACTTTAGCGAACACATTTAGCAAATACTTTAAATGAAATTACTTGAAATATAAAGAGGACGGTATTTCTTCGCTAGGCCGATACCAAAAGTCATTAGTTGCATTAGTATGTTCAACATCCATTTCCACCGTATAATTAGCGGTCGTAATATTGCAAAGCTAAGATATTGGAATATAGGTATTAAAAATATTTTCATATAATTTGCACACTCACGCTATAATCGACACCTTTTTCTATCCAAGTTTTTACACCTTCACAGCTCCAGGGAATTGTAGGTCGAAATGATTGCAACATATAGTGCATAGGTATTATAAGAAACACAGCATAGTAAGAGATTGTTATTAAATTAAGCGCTAAACTGACATATCCCATACCTATTAAAAGAATTGAAGACATAAAAAGTTAGTATTACAATATATTCGTATAAAGTCAATAATATTGAAACATTCATTTAATTTACCTTTAAAAAAAGGTGATACACGAAATGCTGATATATAACCACTGCTTGAAAACTGACCCATGAAACACTGAATAACTATAATGGGTACAACATAAAGTGCTAGACATATTAGGTAGGGAAAAATAGCAGCAACTGTGAAAAAAAAGTAATTAGAAACCTTAATAAATAAATAATTAAAAAAACAATTTAATTTATAAAATATAATGTAAGTACGAATTAAAATAAATCATTCTATTACTGAAAAGTCATTGATGCAGCTTGGAGTGTATATTCCAAAATCATTAAAAATATTTAAACCGTTTGAATTAAATGATTAATAAAATTAATTATTGATGAACATGTAAATAATAATTAATAGATATAAATTGTTAATTTTTTTGCTATACTAAATGTTTAAATTTTCGTAATGTGATAAAGCAAGCTCAAATGTCTACGTTCACTTATATATTCGTATATAGACATATATGTTTTTTCCTCAAAAATCAGTCAAGCTGAACATATTATTTGGTGTAAAATGCAGTGATCACAAAAAATTAATTTAATGTATTATTATTATACACTCACTGCGACGATCTACATTTTTATACAATAATGTACAGATTTATATATGGAATTGTGCGGGTATATCACCTCGTCAACTATTTCGAAATAATTGTCTTTCTATAATTTTCTCAGTGAAACCGTTTTAAATCATCATAATCATATCTTTTATAGTCGTTTATCAATGTAAGAACTGCAAGTGAAAAAACACTCAAAAATATAGAGATCGCCACGATGTGAGCTTATGTGAGCAGATTGTCATCAGCGTACTACTGGGTTATCGTTGCATGGTTACCGCTCTCACACAATGCCATAAAGTTTTAGTAGCATTCAATAGTGCAATCTTAAAAAGCACTAGAAGGATTATTTTTTCAAACCTCATCATAGAGTTTGACGACTATTTCTCATAACAACCCGGCGTACGTATAAGGGATAACCCTAAATTCAAGTACAGAACTAATGGCAACATTGTTTTATTTATAGTATTATTATCATTATTACTATAATTATTATTATCATTATTATTAGTCTTACTTCATAAAATTTTAATTTGGTTTAATTTTAGTTTCACATTAAAACCATATAATCATAGTTGTTTCAATTTCTAATTCCAATTGATAAAGATTTTTAAAAATAAAACAGCACTGATGCACTTACCACCCGCCTCAAAGAAGTAATACCATCCAACGAAAACGAAATCTGTTTTAAAACCAAAAGACAAGCAGGAAACTATGAAATCCGTAGGTGTTGCCCATTGTCCACGCTTTGTGTCTGGCCGAAATGGCATTCGCCCAGTCTCATATGATGTTTCATAGACCATAATTCCCTGAGTGACCAACGATGTCTTTTCTTTAAGCGATAATAATGGTTGGTTGGATTGTCACGATAATTAAAACCAAAAGGCAAACAAATTGAATAACCTATTTACATATATCGCACTGGCTTGCTTAAGATCTGAATATTTCAATTAAATATATTCAAATTATTTATAAACACAAAAACAAAAGCAAAAAATCGGAAATGAGGCGAATACCGAAAATCGTGCGATGCGGCAGCCCACGATTTTAAGTTCTAATTAGGCGAAACTGCGCCGAAAGACTGAATTGGCATTTGTAAAACTGTATCCGTCAGATTCAACTTTCATTATCAACGAATTGAGAAATTTTCGAAATATAATTTTTTATGTTGTCGGTAGGTACTCCCTGTATTTTCAATTTGTGTAACTTTCTGTTTTTGTTTACAAAATGTTTATAAATTTTTAGAAAAAATGTTTGAGCGAATCTCAACACGAATATGTTTAAAAGTATTTTAGTGGGATGGGGTACAGGTGCGAAGCAACTATAGAATAGGGTTCTGAAAAATATTTGTGTAAATTACAAAATAAACACCAATATATTATATCATATATATGTTTATATAGATCTAAATAGCAGTTATTATTTATATTTCATTTATACACTCCCTTAACAGAAATAATATTGCAATAATAATAATAATAATCACCTTAGTTATCAAAAGTCTGCGGAAAAAATAGTGTAAGTGGATGAAGTGACAAATGTTCTAAAAATTGATCATAATATATATATATATATATATATATAGACTTTATATTAAAAGTCTATATTCGTCAGTCAGATCTTTTGCAAAAATAACATATCATGTGTATAAGGAAATTATTTATACTAATGAGTTCATATCATTTTCGTAGTAACGACTATCTCTAATATAAAGAAAATGCAAAAAATAAAACAACATTTAAACTAATGTTTTTGATCTTACCTGGTTTAAGACAGATTTATATTGCAATGACATACATAGTTAGTTAGTGAGTTGTGATAGAGGGAGGACCAAATCCTCCTCAATTAGTTAAGAAAGACATTTTGAATTCACACATCCTCGTTATAAGAAGTAGTGAAGAGTAGATCAAGTTAGAAACCAGTCAGAGGTATTTAATGACATATATAAAAATAAACAAATAATGATGTAGAAATTATTTAATTTTGCTCTATCCTATAATAAATGAAAGTACAGCAATAAATAAAATTTAAATAACACCATATATTTCCCTTTAATTCTGGGACCGCGGTGGAACCCTAAAGTGATCTGTATTATTAAAAAATATTTCTTAAATAATCGCAAAAACTTTTATATAAAACTTTTCAGTAAACGTTACGTATCAACCTAATAAAGATGAGCAAATGCTGATATATCTGCTAAGAGAATAAAATAATTTATTGAGTATAGTGAATTTTTGCCTTAAAACATTAAACACTGCTATAGATGAAGAAATTAGAGAAGTTAGTTAAATTTTTGATAAGGACTTAAGATATATATTATAATGTCGAAGTTTTAAAAATTAGGTTTAGTCTTTTCTTCTTAGTAAAGTAATCGTAAGATTCAATAGAGATAAAATACATCTCAAACTAGAGTTTACAAAGAACGGCATAGATATCTATATATTTATTACCTATCTCATCTTAGTAATTATATTTCTGTATGAACATGTTTGAAGTTAATTACTCTTGCATTCGTTTACTAAAACTCGAATCGACTTCGAATATGTTAGTTTTAAAGAGCAAGTCATCATCTGCAAACATTATAATTAAGGTTTTTGAATAACTCATCTTATAACAATGGATATTTTCATCAGTGTGTTTTCATTTGAGATAAGGGTCTGGCAGGTTACTCTGATGTTTGTGGTTTTATAATATTTTTTTATGATATATTGTGAATTGAAACGCTACTCGAAACAAACAAAGCCCATAGAGAGTAGAGCCCCCTCAAGAATGATATGTGGGAGAATGATTTGTCTTTATTCTCTCTGATGTCGCAGTGGTATTACGTCTTGACTACTGCGTTTATTACGTTGTTGTTATGTGTTCGGAATCTTAATTTCAGATAATTTTTAAATATATAAAATTTAGTTTTAATCAAGAAATTACCATATATTATATATTAAATGTAAACAAAAATAAATTTATTTCTTTCTAATTTTATTCATTTTTTTATAATATGTGAGTCTATTTACTAGTAATTCCGTTTAAGCTCGGTATTTCCCTTGTTTATTTTTTTAATTAATTCAGTTGAATTTCTTGTTCTTCTTCTTTTAATAAATGCAGTTCACGTTGCGTTAAACGCTTTCTAGATGAATCTCAGCTTATCAGTTTCATTTCCAGCACTTGGTTATATTACTATTAAATGAAATAATGAAAAAATATCTTCATGGAAGTGTGGAAAGAAATACAAAGTCAAGCTTATCAGCTGACTTAGTTCAAATTGGTACTGAGACAGAACGTCGACTTGGTATAATGATGACGACTTTGCTTTAAAAATTTTCTACAAAATGCTTAGGTGCAGTTTCTGGCAAGCGTTGAAGAAACATTTGATAAAGATTAGTCTTTTGTGAAGAAAAGGAATCCAAAAAAAAATCATTATATGTTTATCGTTAAGTCTTAAAGCATTTTATTTTTTTTTTAAGTTTGATAGTCTCTGAAACATAAAAATCATTCTTATATTTTTTTGTTCACCAGCGTTACGTCAATTCTTCATTTAGCTTTTTTAGCCTTCAGACTTATTAGTTCTTATTTATTTATTTTTTGTTTTGTTTCTTGTCATATCAACTTCTTATAACATTAAAAATGTTCTATAGATGGCATCTATAATAATAATAAGAAGAAAGAACAGGGTACTAGCTCCCATTTGAGCAGAGCACCGCGACCATTATTGATCTTTTGTGCTACAACAGACCCTAACTGAACAAAAGACATTCCGCCTTTCGAATGAAGGCCAAAATGTCGGTTGTTGAGGATCTCCTAATGTCGGAAGGTGATAGCAATTCCCGACCCAGTGATCTCCTCCTGGCCCCGATCAAAGCTGGGCAGTCACATAGAATGTGGCTGGTTGTCTCCTCTGCCTCCAGGTATCTATAGTATTCAGTAAAATACAACTACTGTTGTTGTGAATTTGTTATTCCTTATATTTTTCTCATAGTGTTGCTCCATTGGATAAAGGCGAGAATGCCTTATGGATGCGTGGAAAGATGTGTGGTGTGTGTGATGGAAGCAATCTTTCGAAATACAGTTAAAATTGTCCTAATGGGCCGAAAATTTGTATATAATTGTACTTTGGACCAATTAAAAACATTTTTTTGGGGGACACTCCTTTTGGACTAATAGAAGTTTGGCTTATTGTAAGTGTCCGCTAAAAAGAGTTTATACTGAATACAATTTAGTGGGAAATGTTTATTCCATGTTTTGGGCTTTCAATAAATGTAAGCTCCTTTAACGGTTTTGTTTTGTATCATGGATAAATCTTCTGTTGCTTATTTTCTAGTATTCACAGACAATATGTTTAGGGGTATATTTGTCTCTGAACATCTTGTTTTGTTGATATAGTACCCCAAAGTCAAGATGAAAATTTAATTATCCTCTCTGCTCAGTGTAAGGAGTCGATTTAAAACTACCTTAGATGAGTTGGGGAATCCTTTAGCTTGTGTTTAAGTTTGGAATGCTTCCAGTATATAAGTTTGTTCATCATAATCCCTCTGAACACAGTACAGAATGCCGTAAATCGATGTTGGACAGCCAGCCAGAAAATTGAGTTGCTTTGGTCAAATTTATTAAGCAGCGTTAGAGATTTGTCCGCTTATCTGAATGAATTTTAACAGAATTTAAAATTACTCTATTTGTCACACTCTGCTGATAAAGGTATTAATATAAAACTTTTACATAGTATTTATATATTATATATTTTTTTTCTACCTTGAACAAATAACATATTTTTCAATTTAATAATGTATAATTTATTTGCTTTTTATAATGCAGTAGGTTTTTACACGGAGTCTATTTTAATTGGTCAAAATATAATTTCATTTAATTTGTTTTCCATAAATATATAAATATGAGTATCTGTTGATATAAATATAATTAACGTTGAGTAAAACTTTTTATAATCAGCATCAAACGAGCACAATTTCAATTGAGATATTGAAATCCACACACGAAACAAAGAAACAAACACACAAACACATAACGACATACTGACATATAACGCATATAAATCGGCATACATCTGCACTCAAAACAATAATCGCAATGTCACATTTAAGTCGTGTCGATGACCAACATTTCAGAGGTTCCCATCACTTCCTCGTAGAAGCGACGATTATCAGCATCGACTGGATGCCAATCATGTGGCTCGAAGCACTGCTTCAGTCTATTGCGCAGTGACCCTGTGGTTTGACACAACTTGTAGATCATGTACATCGCGGCTGTTACATACACAATCACTTGGCTGATGATAACAAGCTCTGATGCAGATTCCTCTTGCTCCAGCAGAAATAGTATCTGAAACTATAAAAAAACAATTATTAAAACACAATTTTGAATAAATGGGCGTTGTATGTTACATATTCTATATTCTATATTCTATAAATAGTTCACAGATACTTATGAATAGAATATCAATATGACTTTATCATTCCTAACTTACTATGTTTATCACCAGAAATGCTGGAGTCACAAATCTTATCAAAAAAATTTTAAAATTTGAAATAGTTTTGCCGAGCATGAACTGTAAGTCGCACTGAAATCGTTCACGCCCATAAATCCAACAAGTCATCAGCAGCAGTACAATTGATATGGTCACGTGTGTCAATAGCGCCAAGGTGGGCAGAATGTGGAGATGCGCAAATCCTTGCTGTGATATATACAGTTGATCCGAAAAAATAAAAATGTTAAAAAAAAAAAAATTACTGTTAATAAAGAACTATATTTCAGTATTTCTCTTCTACTTTAAATTTTTCCTAATGGCATTGTAATCATTTGTTACAAACTACTTTTTGAGATAATTTTGACTTAAGTTTACATATATTTAACTTATATATAACAAAATATCAACAAACGCATTGTTAAAGAGTTAACGTAGGCAATATATACATATATATAACTAGCATTATTGAATTTTTTCTTCCATATTCGCTTATACATTATTCCAAAGCGTCAACCTAAGAGTCGCTCTATGCAAGTTGTTGTAACCCGAAGTGGACCTAATTCATGTATAAAAATACATGGATTAGGATGGGGTGCGGAGTGAAGTGGGAAGTGAAAGGGATATTGTGCATACCATTTTGCAATGATAAGGCTCGACTTATGGAGACTTCGGGTTAAAGAATTTTTTTGTGATTGTGTGTAATTTTCTCTTCTAACCCTGTTGCACTCTATTTAGCTCGAGTTATAGAAGTTCGAGTTATGGAAGTTTGACTGCATATGTGACTTTGCATTCTGAAACCAAATATTGGCTAAACAACTACCATTCTCTTATTTTATGAGAGATTTTATTTTCGTCACACAAATTTGACACTAATTAAATCTCCATCGGTATTGAAAGTTGTGTGGGTCCTATTAACAGATGAAAAAGTGTCAATGCTAATAATAAATAATTATTAATAAGAAAAGTCGGAGATAAGAAATGTTTTACTAAGTTAAAATAGAATCGCTTTTCTTTGATAATTAGATTCTAAGACTCTACTCGAAAGTGATTTAAAGTTCTAAATAATTTTTGAGTTAATCACATAATAACACTGAGTTCACTGAGTCAACATGATATGTATGTGCTTATATCTCGAACAAGAAAGTCGGAAAAACTGAACATTTCTAATTGTTTTTTATTTGGAAGCCCACAGATAATCCATAAAATGTAAACAATTAAATTAATTAAGCTGACATTAATCTTAGTCAGCGTTCTATGTATATGACATTGAATATTTCAGTCCATTAAGACCTTATTAAATTATGAAAAAGATAGATAACGCAAAGAGCATTATATATGAATATATTTTATACTCTACTGTAGAGTACACAATCTGTATTGTGTGGAATTGTGTGTTTGCTCATGAAAGCATAATTAAAATTAATTATCTCTTATGATTTGTGTGTATTTTTTTAATTATTTGTAATACTTTTTTATGTATAAGTATGTTTATTTAAAAAAAAAAACCTATATATATGAAAAACATATGGAGCAGCAGACCTTTGTGCAAAAATAGACCGAAACTGCCATTGCCATGAGTACCAGCCCAATTGTGATAGTAGATTTTTTCGTTCTTAATTTTTCGTGTTCGTCGAATATTGCTGTTAGGACAGACATCATTTGAATTATCTGCAAATAATTAAGAAAATAATTAGTTGATTGCGAAATTGCGAAAGTAATTTTTTAATTTGAATTTTTTACTAAGTAATTAAATTTATTTTTCAAAAACGCAAATATGTGATTACGCTTGAATTTCACAACTATAGCCTTGTGCGAGTTTGAGTAATTGAAGGAAATAGTAAATTATGTCGATATGGCAGTGAATGTTGGTATTTACTAGAATTTAGAGTGGGATAAATTAGGTATTACCATTGTGAAAATTTTATAAGATGTTTAATAAATTAATAAATAAATTTGAAAACTTTTAACAGAGAAATAATAAGTAAGGGCAATATATAAGTGCAGTGCAAAAAATCCCTATGAAATTTCAATTTACTTTATCTCAATTTACTCGAACTCGTATACGGTCTATATGCGTAATTATCAAAGAGTAAAAAAACTTTGTAAATTTTTCAGAATGTATTTATATAATAATTAAAGTTTGTTTCATTTCTTTAAAAGTAATCTCTTTTAATATTGAGCACTTAAGTCATTATAGTTTTCAGTATAGATCATAAATTTACTTAACGAGTTTGGGGATTCAAAAAAGTCATTAGTATTGCTATTATTATTATTAAGTTGGAGTCTTCCTGTTGCAACCTAAAGATGTGTTGTGTTCTCTTTACGGATTTAACGTATTTTTCCAAATTTGACTATATCAATATATTGTAGTATTTAAGCAACACATTTTTGAAATAAATTATGCTGTAGTAATATGACCGTAATACTACAATGCTTCGTTCACTATCTTATATCTCTAGAGATAAAAGACGTCTTCCTCTTCTAGAAAGAACTGTACTTGTCCAAATGAGGTCAGAATACAGCCACACACTAAACAGTTATTTGTCAATTATAAATATGTCTATTTTCAATGTATGTGCTAATTATAGCTCTATTCCCTATCACATCGCTCATCAGTTTTCTTTTCCTAATGCACACAAAAAATTTCAGTCCTTCGTCTTGTTGAAGTGGCAAGATTTTTCTATCTGGACTCAGGTTAGATTTAATAGTTTTAATCTGTAGTTTTCATTCTTGTTCCCTCCCATTACAATCATTACATTCTTTATCTATCACAGAAAAAAGAAAATATCAATCAGGTCTAAAAATTTATCTGACGTTAATATATATTTTCTATGAAGATACTCGAAGATATATTCGAATATATTCTAGTTCGATTTTTAGCAGACTATTATTTTCAAGAATGAGACACAACAATCCTATGTATAACCTGAAGTCAGATTATAGCCATGCTTGTTACGATTAAATCCTTCTATTCCTAATGTGTTGTCCAGTTCACAATTATGGTGTTGTAAATCTGTTTCATTATCACACTATATCCACTATTATGTGCTTATATGGTTTGTGGTTTTGTATCATCGATGTCGCAAATTCTTCCATTCCTTTTTTAACCGGTTTCTTGTTCAAAACTCTATCCCACTTCTCAAATTTAACCCCTAGTCCATCCAAATTTCGTTCAGCTGCACAGAACCAATATTTTCATGCCAAGTATACGTTACATTATCGTACTATATGCCCTTATCTATGCTTAATTGATTTAAAGTTTTGTGTCATCGATGTGACAAATCTACCTATTAATTTCTTAGCCGTTTTCACCATTTAAAACTTTGTCCTACTTTCCAAATTTTAACCCTATTCCATTACTAACTTGGTTAGAAGGCAGACTTGGCCTGCTTTCTCTCTGCTGAATCCATTGGAGTTGACGTATCCCCTATGATAATAACAGCAACAACAATATGTGTACTAAAAATATTTCCTGCCCAGAAGTATAAATGGAGTAAAAATAGTAAATAGAAAGCTTATAGTACATAAAGAAAAAAAATATAGATAAAAGATGCTATTAAATTATTCACGTCATGAGATCTTATGCAGCCATTAGCCTAAGGTTAATATTTTGCTGTTTAAGTTGTTCGCTAACGAATAAGATTTAAAAACATTTATTATTTTAAATATTTGAAAAACGTATAGGAGTCTTAGTAATTATTAAAAATAAAAACACAAGCAATCAAAATCTTTATCTTAAAATTGTACCCTTTGATCCTAATGTTAAGAGACCACAAATATTTGATTAATTTAAAGAACCCGCTTAAAGAAAAATCTAATTAAATACTGATTTCCAAAGAATGTACTCTACATAATCGAGAACACTCAAAATATTTATTCTGTTCAATCATATTTATACGTATAGCATTTAAATTTTGAAATAACTCTACTGCAACTTACCAAAGCACTTAGTTCCGCAATGAAAAGCATGGCGAAAAACAAAAAGCTCCAAAAATTTGGAAGACTAGTAAAGCTGCCGAATAAATAGGCGAAACAAAGATACAAAAATTGCATATAATGTTCCTCTTCCACGTGGTAATGGAACATACCCACATGATCTGAAAATATAAGAAATTATATAAGTACAACCTTAAACTCGTTTAATTAGTCGGAATCTATGGATTACTGAACATTCAAAATTTAAAGCTTTTAATAAAAAATAAAACAGTCACTTTGCTTTAAGTTAAAAACTGTAAAGGTTAGAGTTCATTAGTTGCTTCGTACTTCGCAGATCTCATTCAGTTCGCAGGTTTGTTGTTGCTATGATACGAGAGAACGAATCATATGATACGAGAGAACGATTTGCTTGAATATGTAAACTGAAAAGCTAATGATGTTCAGATAAGGTAAACATTGAAAAATACAAAAACAACATAATATCAAACTAATAAATTGAATTTTTCCCTTTGTTTGCCACCTCCTATGTCGCGCACAAGCAATTATATTTTACAATTGGATTTCGAATAAGTAAATACTTGTGCTTAAATTCGAGAATAATGAGTGCATAGAAATCTAGAGCGAATAAAATCGTCAGTAATGACGTGCTGATGGTTTCTGGTACGAAAAACTATTGCTAATGTGAAATGGGAATCAAGTTGTAAAATGAGAAACGAAATATGATAAAATAGTTAAATAGTTAAAGTCAAATAAATAGAAAATTAACATTCAACGTCAATATTATTTGAATTTAGTATTGTTTGTATGGAGGAGATGGTACCGAGAAGAAAAAAAAGCACGTAAGTGCGAAGAGAAGACTGAGCAAATGAGATGCGGGAGGAAGAAAGAGTGAATCCCTTCATTGACATTCACAAATAATTGTCACTAAGTGATCCCTTTGTAGTGGACCATGCATAATAAAAGAAGTAGCACTGAGTGATAAAAAAAATCAATGTAAAAATGGAGAGTGAAGAAGGCATGTCAAAATATACACAAAAATAAACATTTATAAAACGAAATGTTAAAGAAAATTCTTATATATATCTAAGACCTTTTAATATTTATATATAGTACATAAAAATATATTTTTAAAATATAAATGTATATCTTTTATATCTTTTTACTATATAAAAATAGTTTCTCTTCTCTTTTTCACTACTCATCATTTTTTCTAGTATAATAGAAGTACTTAAATTTTTACGTTTAATATATTTTATACCCTCAAAATGATCCAAAGCAATGCGTCCACATATCATAGCCAGCACCGCCAATACAATGTGAGTTACACTCACCCAGTATGTTAGTTTTTCACTATCATGTCGGAAATTATTATGGCTGGCCAAAGTTAAGATACTTCCCCAGCCAGGGCCCAAAAGCCAAGTCGCCATAAAAATAGCTGCACGTCCACTACTCAAAATTGCATCATAAGTTCTTGACGAAAATGGACGAAAATAGCTGAATAGGGTACTCCATGAAATATTGACATATAAAAGAAGATGCGCGAAGATTGCAATAAAGAAAGAGAGCATCAGAATGCATACGCAACGAAAGAGTTTACCGATCTGCAAAACAAATTTTTAACAATTATATAAATATTATGTTTAGGATGTGAAGAATTAAAATAGTTAGTACTTACGAACGACACACGCTTCAGCAGTATACCCAATGTAACTAACCATATACCAAGCACTGCTATGGTTACAGGCCAAGATATGACAAAATATGATCCTCCATCATTGGAGGTACTAATAATGTATCTTTAAATAAAATACAAAATTTTAATAATGATGAAAGTACCAATAAAATTATAAGTAGGATACAATGAACTACCGAAAAAATTCCACAGTCGCATGAGAGTATTGAAATTCGTCCTAAAAATATGAATATGCCATTTGGGTATTGTGTTGCAATCAATTAAATTTATACTATCAATATTTGTACCTCTACAACATAAACAGAGTGCATAGAACAGTTTGGGGTGTTCCAAATATTGTTACAACTCATCCATGGTATCACAGTGTTCAGAGAATAGGCAGCGTATATAAATGGCACGGCCGCTATCACAGCGTAATAAGCAAGTGAGGTTAAGTTCAATAGTAAAATGGAGTATCCAATACCTGACAGAGACAAAAAGATTAGTTAGTTAATATAAGTTAAAAATAACAATTAATTACAATTTGTATACGATGTGTAGAAAAATGCTTACCCTTAAAAATGGGTGCTACACGAAATGCTGATATTGTGCCAGAGGTCGAAAATTGACCCAGAAAAGTCTGTATAATAAATATCGGAATGGCATATAGAAGAATAGCAACAATATAAGAAGCCAAGAAATAAACTAAAACAAAAAGATTATATGTATTATTTTTATATGTATGTTATTTTTTATAAAATCGATTGAATTTAATTAATAAAAAAATTAGCATAAAGTATCAATTCGTTTATATATTATTTTATAATATTTTAATTGAATTTCAATTCTTAACATAATACTTCAACTATTCTGAAACAGATTAGTGCCCGGATTTGAAAATTGTCACTCGCACATTGATAACCTACTCTCCTTGGATTGCGAATCAGTTTCATAAAGTGAGATAATTGAAAGAATTTATTGTTAATCTTTTACAAATATTAAATAATTTTAATTAAAATGTTTTTCACATTTAGCGACTACGCAGTTTAAGAGATCGCCCCTAAGTAAACTTTTCAAAACTGTAGTAAAACTACGACGACTATTGATATATAATACCAACAGTTTATTATACCCCATTCTCATGTTTTCTATTGCAACAATAGCAAGACCATTGAAAGTTAGAGAAGGCGATTAAAATGAATTCATTGTCATATCAGATAAATATATATCTCTGGTTATACGTACGTATATTATATGTGCGTAATTCGGTATTTTTGAAAGTATGATTAATTTTAGCATAGCCATATGAAAATATTGAAAAGAATACCTTTAAAATTAATTTAGATAGCACAATAGTTATTGAACTACAGTACAACGGCTCTCTTATCGAATTTTCTTACCTCCGCCAAATAGCAGTCCATAAACGGGCAATTCCGAAAAGATTATCGAACCAAAAGCATGGCTCGTGCAAGCAAAATAAAAATCGGCTGCCGTAGACCAACGTCCACGCCTCTTGTCATGCTTAAACGGTCTCTGCAATGTGTCATAGGTGCTCGTCGTTGTGGCTGCTGTTATTGTAGCGGCAAGGTAACTGTGATTATTGTGTTCATTGTGATTAGCGCTGTTGTTGTGGTTATTGTTATGATTAAAGCTGCTGTTGTTGTTGTTGCTGCCGCTGCCGCTGCTGTAAGTGTTGCTATTATAGCCTAAAGTGGGTGATAGCAGATCATTATCGTCCAAGTAATCGTGGAGTACGCAGTTGCTGAGATGCTGTTTTGCTTCATTGCATATTGATTTCATAGCTGCGGTCGATTCGATTGTAGAATTATAGAAACGAGTATTCTTTGGCTCCTAACTTCTTCGGTATTTTTTTTATTTTTATTTTATTTTTTTTTTTTGTAATTTATTTAGTTATTATTGTTATTGTTTGTATGGCGATTCTGGCAATTGATGCCTAATTGTTGTTAACGTTCGTGTTATTGTTATTGTTGTTGTTGCTGTAGCTGTTGCTGTTGCTGTTGCTGTCTTAGGTGACAGTTTGATTTTATCACATTCAATGCATTTTATACTTGATTTATTGATATTAAAACGTTCATTGAATATATATTATTTAAATATTAAAATTGTTGAATGTTAACTCTTTTTTATTGTTTAATTTCTTATTTATAATTTAGTTAGTAATATATTTGAGTTTCTTTAAACACTTCATTTGATTTTCTTTGTGGTTAATAAGGTATCATATTCTGCGGTAAAGCAAAGGCACTAAAGATGGACGCACGTCTCTTGAAATTTTTTTTATTTGTACCTGTAATAAATACAAAAAAATCAAACTTAATGAATATTAATCAAATAATATTTACGATATGAATTTAATATAGAGTCATTTTGTTAAATGCCTAATCAGATAGCAATATTCTAAATAAATCTGTGAAATGTATGTTAAAAACAGAAGCAGTACATAAAGCAGATCATTCACATAAACAAAGAATGATTATGAGAAAAAGGTCTATATGCAATGTAGAATGATTATTCTTTTGTAAGATATGTTTTCAGCCTTTGCTCTTCTTCCAAGTAACGCATAGGCTCTGTTTTGTTAAGAACTGTTGTAATGATAATAAGTTATTGATATATCAAATAATAATAATAAGTAATTCAAATAATAATAAATAAATAATTGTAAATTCTTCAACTTTGAACGACTGTTTGACAAACATGAGGTTTTGTGTAAAATTGATATAAAATTTTTTTAACTTTAAATAACTTTTGAAATAAACTGTAAAGTTTCTTATACATCCAGTATGTCAGTAACTCTAAAAATATGAAAGACACTCCTACATACAACATTTTTTATAATAATTTTTATCTATGTACATTATTTTGCAATAAAAAATCACTAAATTATTTCATATCATATAAAATAAGGAAATCATAGTAAACTAAGATTAAGAAATTTTCAAGTCTTGATCTTTTCTTCTTTTATGTAATATATAAATATTAGATTTAGTACTATTATACAAGCCTTCCAGAAAAACAAATAATATAGCAAGTAATTTAGTCTTTAGTGATAGAGTTTACTTAACTAATTTTATATGTAGCACATAAAAACATTATGTTTTTACTTATTATACCACAAGGCTTACCACAGTTCTCTCTGATCGTTGGTGTACAGAAACACACTCAAAGAAACTATGCATTCCTTTCACTCTTTGTAAAAGCTGTGGAAACTTAAAGGTAAAAAAAACAATTATTTTCTCTGTGAATGCCCAGCACTAGCCTACAGAAGAAATACATTTTCAGGGAAGTACTTTTTTCACAGTTTGTTAGACTTTTCATCGATAAGAACAAAAGGGCTGAATTATCTATATTCAATGGGACAGTTTTATTTTTTATAAAAAGACGAAAAAAATCTGTCCCATCGAATATAGATAATATAGACATTTTATTCCTATCGATGAAAAGTTATCGATACCTGCTAAATATAGTTAAATCAACCCTGATTTAGTAGTTACTTAACAACCTAGACCTGTTGACAGTCATCCTTATGTCTCCTTATGTGGAAGACTTTCCAATTTTATACTCGGAATTTACGCGAATCTTTTTCAACTAGTTAATCCATATCTTTAGTGAATTAAATCAAATTTTAGTAAATTTTTTAAAGAGTGTCTATACTAACTAACAACTCCTGACCTTGCATTCTTATTTAATTGCGATTAACAAATTTGGGTTAGTACATTTGTTGCTGTTAAATAATGTTGGGATTGCCCTATATATGTTCGACTGGGCCACAAAATTCGAGCAAAAAATAGCTCAAGAGCAAAATCTAAATTTGCTAATCATAACGACATTAAATATAGTAAAAATATATATTGGACTTTAGTTAAAAAAAATAGTTTAAATGTGAATTCTTAAAATTCATTCTATTATATTATTTTTATTTAATTATTTTTATTTTCTAAAGATTTTTTACACTGCACTAATGTAAATATTTATTTATTTAATTATTACACTTATAATTTTTGGTTAAAATTTTTCAAATTTATTTATTAAACATATTATAAAATTTTCACAATGGTAACACCTAATTTAGCTAATTTTTATATAATTAACCCTACTCGAAATTCTGGTAAATACCAACATTTACTGCCATACCGACATAATATACTATTTCCCTCAATTTACCATCAATTTACACGAACTCGCACACGGCCTTAAATGATATTATTTGAACTTGAATCCGTTTTTAAAATCTGATTAAATCACTTTTGTATATGACGTTCAAGGTATTTATATTAATTTGAAGGATATGCAGTAGCATATCACTTTTGAAAGTGATTAAGATAATTTGCTTTATTTTAATATGAAAGAATATTATAAGTAAAAAAAAATATATTACAATATATGATATATGGCACAATGGAATTCTTATGTTTTTTAAATATCTCTATAAAACTGAACAAAATTGAGTACACCATTACTGTACACCATCAGTGGAGATGAACTGATCATAATAAGACAGTCTTGTTACCAGCTTTGTCAATATGAATTATGACTTATTGTTTAATTTTTTTTATAATGACCCACGGTACCACTTCGACACCACTTTCAACTGACCTTATTCCTCGCCCCCAATACAAAGTATCGCCAATATTTTAATTTGTGTTTTTCGTTATTGTTTTTGTTTTTATAATAATAATAAATATTAATTAATGTTTCATTTTTAATTTTATTTACTATAGTAAATCCAACTCAGTCTATGTAATTAAGAACGTTTTTTTTCGTATTTTTTTAATTTGCATTCAGGGCAATGACGATTAAATTGCGTTATAAGCATAACTTTTAATTAAAATGCAATGCTACTAATTTTTGTTCTGACGTTTTTAATTAAATGTATTTTTTTTTATCTCCAACGATGACAAAATTCACTTTTAATTCAATATAAAAAAAAAAAAATACAATTGTACCGCGCACAAAAGACAAAAATATTAATTATTTAACAATTTTGAAGACAAACAGAAATAAAGAAATCATTTAAGAAATCTGTCTGACAGTTGAGGAAAACCACGAACACTGCGGACTCACTTAAGTGCTTATCGTCGCGCGGCTTTCCAGTTAAAGACTAAAAATTAAAATAATTAACGATCATCAACGCGTTTTGCTGTGACGCCGCCGCGCGAATCTTTTGCTACTTCATCAACATTTGTTATTTGTTTATTTTGGTCATTTAATGCTATTTTATTTTATTTTACTTTTTTTCGGAATTTTTTTTTCGGATTTTTTTTTGTTTTTGTTTTTTTGATTTCATACAACATTTAGTAAATATGTATTTAATTACATATTTATTTTTTTTTTTAAATATATTACTTTTTTTTACATCGAACTCTTCTGCTTCTTGATTTGCCCACAAATGTAAGCAAAAAAAACAGCACACAATACGAGTACAAAAATCCCATGCCCCACCACCGCTGAGAGCCAAAAGTTCAGCAGTAGAAAATCAAAATTAATTAAACTCAAACAATTTGTACAGAATCAAATTAACAAAAACAACAACGAAAAAGAAATTTTTTTTTGTCGGGAGAGTTAAGCACAGGTTTCAATTATTTGCATGCCTTTGTTTTTTTTCTTTTGTCGGATCTCACCTTTTGCTTTTATTTTTAGATGAGTACAAAATAATTGTAAATAAACAGTCTGCATATTTTTTGGGTGGGAATGCAGTGTACCGAAAGTAGACGCAAATCAATGAAACACTCAGCCAGTAAAACACACATTAGCAATACCACAATAGCAGGTTAAGCGCCCACAATAAAGGCGAGACCAGATCAGCTGATTTTTGTTTTGTTTCGTTTCGTTGGAATGTTTGGATTTATTTGTTTTTATTTACAATCAAAGGTGGATGCCTTCGTTTTATTTTATTTAATAAATTTAAAAGAAGCACTTAAGTCAGCTTGAAATTAATTTATTTTTTGCATTTTAATTAGAGTTTTATTTTATTTATTATTGGAATTAGTTTAATATCTTTTTTGGTTTTTCAAATATATTACAGATATGAATTTAAATTTTTTATTTATGTGTTGCAGTTTTCATGCCGCAAAAATGAAAATTCATTTCGTGGCGAGTTGATTGTTCTGGTACACTTAAAAAATTTCTATTGCACTTAAAAATATTTACATATTAAAACATTTTTATTTGCAGGGCGTATATTTGTTAGTTCATTAATTTTTATTAAATTATAGCTTATTTTATATAATTGTTTCTTAGAAATTATATAAAAAATTAATATGAATTAATATGAATTCAAACTTATAAGTTAATAAAAATTTGTTTTCCTTTTTAAAGCAATTTATATTTTAAAATCAGAATCAATCGAAAATAATTTTTAAGTAGAAAAGTAGTAAAAATTTTGATAAATTATAAATTATTGAACAGACTGCTAATGCGATAGTAAATAAATTGTATAGGAATAATACATATCTTTTTGAAAAAAAGTTATCCTTCTTTAATGGGCAACTCTTTAACGCTATAGTAAAATAAACTTTATAAGACAAATTAGCTCCTTCAAAAGAAGTTCTGATCTTCATTCTTAAGTGAGCTTTATTCGTTAGTAAATATTTGTGTTGTCGTTTTTATACCTTTTTGTCTATTTAAATTACAGATAGCGTATATTTTAGGATTAACAACTACGTATATTTTAGGTTGTGGTCAACTGTCTCTACTGTCTCTTCCAAAATAATATTAGATGTATTTGGCTGCTTCGAACTGCAGCAAAAATAACAAGCCTCTTACTAAACTCTCTAATTTGCTAGAAAATAACAACACTTCTCTTTTCCATTAACAGACTAGTTATAAAGTGTCATCTAATCATCTAAAATACTACAGCAAAATATGTCACCAAAACGATGAATTTTCAATGAAAATTTTAATGAATATATTATTAATCTCTTATTCAAACAAAATCAAAAACTTTCAGAAAAAATATATAAAAATTGTAGAAAATTTGAAATAATGCGTTTTCGTCATAACCCGATAAAACCAATTTTGATGTGCCCGTGACACTCTACATAACATGAGTCTTATGCAGAAAGCCATGATCACATCTAAATTGCCTCTTTTGGTTATGACTAAATTGCATGCTATGCACATATATATATCTTTTTTAGTATTTTTTGATTGAGCCTAAATTTAAAAGGAAGTGTAGATATGCTATAGATAAAAATGTTAATTTATTTTTATACCTATTATTATTACTTACAAAATTGTAGGCATTTTCTTAAAAGGCGTATTCTCTTTTCTCTTTCCCTGGACTGGATTTAAGCAGAAAAAAATCTTAATTCAATAATAAGGTATACATTTCTCATTGAAATAAGAAATACTTTAGATTTATTCAATTAGTCAGAAGAGTGAGTGGGGAGAACTGATTTCACTTTAAATTAATTGCATCACTAATGATTACTTGGAATTGGGAATTGATACTAATAAGTAGAAAAAATAACGTGTCACTGTTGTTAGACTTTCTACCGAAACTGTATACAAAATTCAGTTAATTAATTTGAACCTAACCCCGGTCTTACGACTACATATTATATTAATTTATTTGCAGCTAAATCCGCATGCACAGAGATCAAAGTTAATCAACGTGAATTATATTATATGTAATTATAAATACTAAATAATTAAATAACTTTAGTAAAAGTGCTTAGTTTATATAATAGATTTTCTCTATGATTGCGGCTTTCATTGATGTTGCATCTAGTTTTTAAATATACATATATAATTGATACAAAAAAATTAATAAAAAACTTAATAAAAAAATTAATAACAAAGTTTGTTTGTACTTGAAGCACGTACCAAATATATAATTGGAGATGGAATTTTGTTAAGTGTAATCGATAGACAGTGTGTCAATTGAAATATTTCACAAATTTAATGAAATTATACAATAAATCTTTCTTAGAGCATATACAGTATGACCTCGATTAATGCAACCTTCGAATATCGCAACTCTTCGGTTATTGGCACCTCTTAAATTTTCCCTGTATCACCTTTGATATTCCATCATATGTTATTCAAAAAACTTTTCAAACCTTAAAATTAAATAACGGTCAAGTGAACTGTTGACAACATATCGTTGCATCAAATAAAAACTAATATTAACGAAGAACGACATCATAATAAAAATTTAAAAAATTTACTTCATGAAATTATTCTAAATAATGGTATTTCTCAACAAGAAATGGATGAGTGGGTCACACAACTTTCTATGGAAAATGAAAGTTTTTTTCTTTTGGAAAATCAAAAATGACGTGCCAATAAATTCCATACCTCTTACAAAAGTTGTAATAATTAAAGATCAAAAAATGAGTCAGTTCCAATAAATCATTGCACCACCCTCGAGGTTATACTGTACTTTGTTTAACAAACTCACAAATTTCTTTTCTTACTGTTGATGCAGCCCTCGTTCTGCTCTGCTGTCTACTAAGTGAACTGAGTTGAAATCAATATTAGTGTCATTAAAATCATAAATGAATCATTGAACTTTTGTTTTTTATGGCGTGATGAATTGCATTGTTTGCATAAAATGACTGAATTAATTTTTTATTTATATTAAATACACAAATGGTGGTTTTAAACCTTGAGTTTATCCTACAATAGACCTAAGTGGATCCACCAGGGATCGCCGTTATAACCTAACCAAACCTAAGTAAACAAATTATTTGCTAATAAAAACTATTCTCAAGGAATATTCTCAGTGTATTTCGATCACAGCGAGTGCAGCGCACTAGTTCCCATGCTTTAAAAGCTTTGGTTGACAATTCTTACAAAAACAGCAACGTACTTCAGTGCAAATAATTTGTTAAAAATAATTAAAGTAATATTTAACAGTTCTTTGTTTCAATTTGCATAGTTCTTCCTGGAATTTTTATTTTCTTTGTTCATACACACATATATTTATGTACATATTAATTCCAGATAATAAAAATAGTTTCAATTGCTTTGTCTGTAGTTGTCTTCCTACTTTTATTATAATTAAAATTATTTATTTTTATTTTGTTTTATTTTTGTTTTCTTACGGTTCTTGTCAAAGGTAAACAAAGCATATGACTTATTTGCGCACATACACACATGCATATATATGCTAAGCTTTGTTGAACATAGCTGATATGTTCGCTTGCCAGCTTAAAGTGCAAGTTGAAGTAAAAGCACAATGACCACAAAATATTCTTTTTGTTTTTGTTTTTTGTTTTTCATATTTTTCCATTTGTTGTTGTTGTTCTTGTGTCAAAATTCCATAAACATGTAGACATATACACCGGCGCCGTATTTATCACTTTATGTCTTTTATTTTGTATTTGGCTATAATCATTGGATTTTGTTGTTATTTATTTTTACTAAACGGAACGATGATTGGTTTTCTTATAAATTTGTTTATACATATGTATGTATATTCCTTCATATCAACACAAAAGTTAAAGAAATAAAAATTATATTCATACTTACTACTTACTATCTTATAATTACACATCCATATGTATGTACGCATATTGTACACATTGTTTACTATTATAACAAAAATAATTTTTCAATTATTAGGAAGCCTTAAAAATTGAAAACACTAAAACACTTTCACTATATCATAAACAAAACAATTATTTTAAATAAATTATTTTCCTTTAATTTGAATTTTTCTCTGAAGTATTCTTCGCCTACACTAACAAAAAACTGAAACATGACTGACGTACAAAATGCATAAATGGCAACGGACAACAATTTTGCTCACAATCGATTTCATTCAATTCGCTGTGCTCTTTGAGAAGTGCAAAGTAAACACAATTGCAACAAAAACAAAAACAATAACAACAAAACGAACACAACAAAAAATTTTGGTAGCAAAAATT